CACATTAACAAGCAAAACAACAGAAATACCAAGTGCTAAATGAGCCCAAGCGTTTGCATATTTGCTAACCCAGAGCCTAAATCTTCCGTATTTATTTAAGTGCAGGACTACTAAAAAAAAAAATAATCCACAAAAGCCTTTTAGACAAGTCTTTGTGTGTTCCACATCTCTTTCTAAAATTAAAAGCTAGCATATCTGTATACCAAAGAGCAGCCAATGGTAACTGCACTGAGAACAGTCTAATATGTTCTTAAAGGCCTCCAACAACAGAAATTCTTAATCTTTCTAATACAATCCAGTACAGTCATCATATTACCAGAACTTTTTACCCTAACCAAAATGCTCCTTGCTGCAGTTTACATTTACAGCTTCTTTTCTTACTCACTATACAGAGGAAAAAAGTTACACAGAGGAGAGTAATCATTACACCCCCCTAGCCTTGTCCTTTCTAAGTGCAATGGCTGAGATGTACGCAATTTTTCTTTCATCCCTTCAGGTCACACCCAAGGAGTCACGTGGAAAAGATGAGGGGTAACAGGTACATGTTAACCCTGGGGAGATTCTGACTAAACAGAAGAGGAAAATTTTTCACAATGAGAACAATCAGACATTGGAATAATCTCCCCAGGGAAGTGGTGGATTCCCCAATATTGGACATTTCTAATATTCATCTGGACAGGTGGCTGGGCCGTGATTTGCGAAGAAAGGTTGGACCGGATGATGCTTGAGGTCCCTCCCCACCTGGGATTCTGTGATTCTATGAACTTCCCTCACGCTGAGGCCCCGTCACGGCTCGCCAGGCCGCAGTCGCGACCGACAGCAGGTAGCTAAACCTGCCTCTCCCTCCCGCTCCAGTAATCACGGATGTGTGGGGCAGCATTTACAGCAGAACTCGGAGCAGGAGCGCGGACTACAACTCCCGGCATGCGTTTCGCCGGGCGCGCCCGCGTCGCAGCGGCGGCGGGCAGCGTTGCATGCCGGGAGTTGTAGTCCGCGCTCCTGCTCCGAGTTCTGCTGTAAATGCTGCCCCACACATCCGTGATTACTGGAGCGGGAGGGAGAGGCAGGTTTAGCTACCTGCTGTCGGTCGCGACTGCGGCCTGGCGAGCCGTGACGGGGCCTCAGCGTGAGGGAAGTTCATAGAATCACAGAATCCCAGGTGGGGAGGGACCTCAAGCATCATCCGGTCCAACCTTTCTTCGCAAATCACGGCCCAGCCACCTGTCCAGATGAATATTAGAAATGTCCAATATTGGGGAATCCACCACTTCCCTGGGGAGATTATTCCAATGTCTGATTGTTCTCATTGTGAAAAATTTTCCTCTTCTGTTTAGTCAGAATCTCCCCAGGGTTAACATGTACCTGTTACCCCTCATCTTTTCCACGTGACTCCTTGGGTGTGACCTGAAGGGATGAAAGAAAAATTGCGTACATCTCAGCCATTGCACTTAGAAAGGACAAGGCTAGGGGGGTGTAATGATTACTCTCCTCTGTGTAACTTTTTTCCTCTGTATAGTGAGTAAGAAAAGAAGCTGTAAATGTAAACTGCAGCAAGGAGCATTTTGGTTAGGGTAAAAAGTTCTGGTAATATGATGACTGTACTGGATTGTATTAGAAAGATTAAGAATTTCTGTTGTTGGAGGCCTTTAAGAACATATTAGACTGTTCTCAGTGCAGTTACCATTGGCTGCTCTTTGGTATACAGATATGCTAGCTTTTAATTTTAGAAAGAGATGTGGAACACACAAAGACTTGTCTAAAAGGCTTTTGGGGATTATTTTTTTTTTTAGTAGTCCTGCACTTAAATAAATACGGAAGATTTAGGCTCTGGGTTAGCAAATATGCAAACGCTTGGGCTCGTTTAGCACTTGGTATTTCTGTTGTTTTGCTTGTTAATGTGTGGTTTGTACTAACAGGTTATAATTGCTGGATTTTAATTTTGGTTTTGTTTCGTCCTGTTTCATTTAGTTTACAGGTGATGAAACGCTGCCACACATCTTCCAGTAAAATGGGCGAGACCACTGGTGGATCAGCAAAAAAGTCTAAATCACAAAATCAACAAGGGCCTTCCAGCCAAAAAAAGAGAACAGAGAGAGAAGGAAGAAAACAAGATCAAAAAAGAAAGGTAATCATTATATTGTATTAAATAAATTAGAAAAGTAACCAAAGAAAAAAAAAAAAGAGGCCTTTTTACCCATTTTTTTTACTGGAATTTGTAGAGAATGTTTCATTAACTAAAAGTAGTCTTCTTGAGGAAATGTCCAGTGTGAGCAGGTGAGCAGCTCTTTTGAGACCCACTGTTTTAGCTGCTCCCAGGTTTCCAGAATTTCTTATTGTGTGCTACTATGCCTGTAACAAGTAGCAGGCATTGATAAACCTTAATCACTGATCATTAATAAAAAGGCAAGCTGGCTGTGGAGTTCTGAAGAGCTGTATAGCATCTGTTTGAACAGAGGGATAAAGTTAGAGTTCATTCAGCTTAGGTGACATTTATTCAGTTCTGGAACATATTATCTGTGTGTCTCAGGACTGACCTAGGCAACTTTCTGTTGGAGAGAGCTTGCTTAACCACTGAATTTATGAACAGCATGATCTCAAGATGTGGCTGGATAGGGAAATGTCATGTGCATTTCTTATTTCATGATCTGATTCTTGGAATGGGAGCAATTAAGAAGAATGAATTGCTTTCCCTAATCTTTTTGGGATGAATTACTGTTTCATAGTTTAAAAAGCCTTTTTCTGTTGTCAGTGTCAATAGACCTCTGTCAAGTTCTAACATGCTTTCACAGCCTTTTTATAGTGGGTTGCTAGGAGTAGATGGATGGTTGCACAGCAGAGGATGTTTCAAAATTACCACATCTGCTGTAAATTTTTCTCTTCAGCACATCACTCAGACAGTCAAAAGAAAAGCTAAGGAACATGGGGACTATTCCCCTGCAGGTAGGATTCTATTCTTTCCTTATGTTTGTCTCATGACAATTCAGTGTTCTGAAAAACACTGAAAGTAAAAGTAGCAACTGCTATGTTGAAATAGATTCCTGAGATGTCACTGAAATAAGTTTCAAAGTTTTCTGTCTGAATAGTAACAGCGAGTATTTGCTGTACAGTGCTCGCCAGTGTGAACTCACATTGTTTTATACACATGCATTAATCACATGCTTTTGTTTGCAATTATTGTTCTTGTAAAGTTCCACCACAAGTACCCATAATATTTTAACTTCCTCTTCACAGACCATTGTCTTCTCTGTTAACCTTCTGTCTTAAGACTGGCATGTGTTGTATTGAACATACAGATGAGATGAGGCTCCTGCTACATTGAGTTTCTTGCTTATGTATATTCCCACTCTTTTATTTCATTCTGGGTTTTCTCACTTGTATTGCCAATGATTTGGGGAAAGTATCTGTTTAGAATGAAACTGCTGTAAGAAAGAACCTTTTCTATTTTGTCCTGTTAAAGAAACTTGTGACTTGCAAATAATAAGTACCACTTAATATGGATAGTTTTGACCTGATAGTTTTGTGACATGGAAAAGCTTTAACTGTTATGCCTCTGACTACAATCTGAGTGAAGTGAGTCACAAAGTTTGTCTATCCAGGTTTGACAGATCATATCTTTCCCTTTTTTTCTTGTGTTAACAGAAGAAAAAGGTTATTCAAAAAAGGTGAAGCTAACCAGTGCTAAAACAGGATCTTGGCAGACACTCTCAGAGACCAGTAGGCAGTTTCTGGAAACTGTAATGGATTCCTTAATACTGTAAGTGCCAAATATCCTGGTGGTTCTTCTCTGTTTCCACAAGGAATAAAGTAAAAATCATAACACTGCTTGAACGGGAAAAGCTTTGGAGCTTTTTTTGGACAACACTGCTTGCTGTGTATATTTTGTCCAATATAATATAACGCTTTCTATCTGGTTTTGGAAACTTTTAGCTAGAAAAGTTCTGACTATTCACTTCAATTGGTGTGTTCTCTGTGCTTGCAGGCTTTGTGATGAAAATTCTGCGTTTATTTTCTTTCCAGATCTGTTTTGTGCCAACAAGGTGAAAGGAAAGATGATGTTCAGAAGCACCTCAATTTACTGAGAGAAAAGTAAGAAATTATAATTTGTTTTGTTTTGGTTTTTAAAAAAAAAATTTTTTTAAAAAAAAAAAAAAAGAGAAGGGATAGGGTTTTATGGTTTATCCAGTTGTTTTGTACCATGTTTACAAATTTGCTTCTGGGAGCAATCACATTTAGGAAATCTTGGAAGAGAGATTTGATGCAAAATAAAGGAGAGAAATGTCTTGACTGAAGTGGACAAGCAAGAGTTGTCGAAAGACTCACTTCAACTCCTATATGAGTAACAGATCCTGGGAGGTATTCTTAAGAGCTCCTTGAGTCAGCTTGGTTCTCTTTATACATGGTTTAAACTTGTGGACATCTATTTATTTTGCTATCATTTTATGATAGTGGCAGGAGCAGTTATAGCTAAATTTTCTTAAATGCTAAATCGTTTTCTGACTGTTGAAGTTACTTCAAAGAGAATTGAAATTTTGTCTTGGGATATATTGTAGCCTCCTTATGTCATTGTGGGAGTAATTATGTACACTTGAGTGTCTGAGAATTTTTGTGTGCATGTGTGTCAGTATACCAGGTTCTAATCAACATAGAGCCTGAGCATGTATATTGCCTTCTTTGTTCTTATTGTACTTCAAGATTCAAATCTTGAGGAGCTAGTTCTTCATAAATGGTTTACTCTGTGTGTGTGTGTGTGTGTATGTGTGTGTGTGTGTGTGTGTTTAATATGTGACATCTTTAATTTCTGAGTTGCTAAACTCCTGCAATCTCATCTGGGATGGATGGAAATTGTGGCAGTTTGGTGTATCTAACTGACAGATCCAACTTAGAAGAATTCAAGTCTTCCTTAGACGCAGAAGGACCTTTGAGAGTGAGCTAAAACTTTTCCTCTGGCATAAAGCTATATATCATGTTTCACAAAAGCATTTACAGATTTTACTAAAATTATCTTTGGAAGCAGTTAAAAATGCTACTTTTAGAACTTAATTTTACTTTGAAAAGCAGAAATGTCAGAACTGGGAAAATATTAGTTAATGTCTATTTACAGTCAGGAAGTGTACAAGTCCAGTGGGATAGAAACCACATGTCAGTGTAATAGCAAAGGTTAGAATGGTGGGATATCTTGTTCCCAGTTCCTTCCTTAGACATCTACTCCACCTGATTTTTGAAAGCAATTGAAGACAGCTTTTCTTCCTGTCTGGATCCTTTTACTTCACTGGAAGCAACCAGGCTAAACTGAGTTTAGTTTTACCCCAGAGAAACCATTAGTCAGTTTTCTTTTTTGTTTTGCAAAGAACTCCAAACAAGTCATGCTTTCTTTTTTCTATAATAAAGGGTGCTGAGATTTTTCAAGACTTTAAAGGTGCCTCCAGGGATGCTGGGCAACCTGAAAAACATCCCAAGCCTTCAAATGGCAGAGAAACAAATGTTTGAGGCAAGCAAAGAGTCTTTGGTACAATTGCAGGTATGAAAGGCAAGGAGGGGAAAAATTTCTTACCTGTCTGCTAATGTGTTGTAACTTTTTAGTAGATGTTGGCTATGCCTGTGCTGCTGGGGAGGAGTTGTCCACTGTTCATCACTGTCACCCACCTTTGCTACAAATCAGTGAATCTATTTGGATGGTGTTTCTGTGTCTTGGGTGATGCTGATGATCAGTGTCATATGCAAAAGGATCATCATCTCTAAAGTAAACTTTGTTCTGTTTTCTTGTCTATTTTACCTTAGGAAGAAATAAAAGAAGCTGAGCAATCAGCAGAACGCACTGAAGAAGCTATGCTACAACTACAGCACAAAATTCAGGTGCTCAGGAACCAGTTAGAGGAAGATGAAAAAAAGGCCAGGAAGGTATTTCCAATAGATGTTGCTGCACTGCTCTAGGTTAGAGGGAGGCCTGTCTTCCAGAGCTATGCCATACAAGCTGTTTCTGCAGAGAGGGTCATATAAAGAGGGCCTTATTTGCTTTGGGAGTGTATCTTTTCAGTTTTTCCAACTTCAGTTGCAAAAATAATAAGTGGTTTTCAGAAGTTGGATAATGACAACCAGTTTATTTTCCTACTTGTGTGACTGATGTTTGAGTTTGGATTTTTTTTTTTTTTTTCTCTTTTTCCCTTTCTAGGTATTCCAGGAAAATGGCAGAGGTGAACTCTACCTTCCAGAACTCCCCAAGCACAGTTTACAGACACCCACTTTGCAGGTGAGCATGGAATATATTTTCAGAGACACTTTGGCTATGAGGAGGAGGGCAACAGAATGTGCTTTTATCACTTAACTTCTGCCAGAGGGGGGCAATTCTGAAATATCTGAAAGCTTTCTTCTTCCTTTTAATTGAGAACTAAATGCTTACATTTAAAAAATGGAATGAAGCCCTAGAAAACCTGCCATTTAAAGGATTACATATCTTTTCCTAGGAACCCTATGGTCCTAGGGAACCTGTGATAATTCTGAGATATATATCTCTGTGATTGCTGGAAGGAAGACTAGCTCAATTCTGTGTCTTTGAATCTTTATTTTAGCTGTATTTAGGTACAGCTAGGCTGCATGAAAGTGAAATTTCTGTTGGATTTAATGAAACTTGGTTTTTATTTGTTGTCTATTATTCTTCCTTCTTTAGGAAGAAATGCTGAAGATGGAAAATCAGAATGGTCTTTTACAGGATATGAACATTATTCAGCAGTCAGCTGACTTGAAGAACATGTTAACCCTCATTGAAAAGACCTATGAGAAGGTGGACTGCCTTTGAGAAACTGAAATATGTGGAGTCTTCTTTGAGGAAGATAACCTAGGGCAGCACTCTGTTAATGTAGAGTGACAGGATGCTGATCACGGAAACAGTGTTTTCTTCCTAATAGCTTTACTGTTGAGACTGCTGAATTTCTGTTAAAACATTTTCTATGGATATTGGTATATAAATCTGTAGATGCATTCTGGGATTCTAGTGATTTTAGTGGTCAGTTGAGGATTTTTGTTTTTCTGGGCTTCTGACAACTTCTAATGATGATATATACTATCTTAGGAGAAGGGAGGGAAATGGATCCTAGGTTTATTTGGGCATTTTTATAGAATAAGACAACCTATTCCACTATATTTTGACTTTTATATCATATTAATAAATCGGTGAAGGCAGGATCTTTTGACAAACTAATTTTTGTTTTGGAGTTAAATTGCTTTTAAACCTGAAACACATATAAAAAGATGATTATCTAATGTTCAGTTACAAATTCCCTGTTCAACTTTCTTACCATTTTTTAATAAAAACATCTGGCAGAAAACTGAATAATTTTTATCAGGTGTACAGGATTTTCTTTACATTTTCATAATTGCTGCTTAAACCAGGTGTGAATGTCTTTTTTTTTTTTTTTTTTCTTTTTATCCAGATGGTTAGGGAAAGCAGATAAGATTGTTAGAGCAATGCTCTAACCCGAATTGTGTACTTGCCTTATATTTCATTAACTGTCAGATATTCTTCAGCTTCAGAAGAAAAAAAAAAAAAAGTCAAAAATCTGTTTTCAATGCACTTTAATCTCTCCTCTATTTTGCCATGATAGAACTTCTCCCTTAAAAGACTCAGTTACTCAGTGCTTGCTTCAGTCAAATTATCTGCTAGGAGACAGCAGTGCTCTTTACATTGCTTTATTGTGCAAACACTATTTTGTTTACAAACTGCTGGTACTCTTAATGAGACATGACCTAATTATCTCTATTCTCCTATGAGAGATTAAAAACCTCTCTGTAGTTGCTACATGTAGGAGAATCAGACTCAGTACTTGCTTGCTTTATACTGAATTACATGAAAAGGTATAGAAATATTTAGAAATTCTCAAATTTCTAGGCACTCCGCAAGGGGAGCATTTACTGACATAACCACTACCCCAAAGTAATTTAATCCAGATTGTGGGTTAATGATTTTCCTGCATGCCAGCTATCTTAATTTTTGTTAAGGAGAGAAATACTCCTTTTCTTTTAAGGATGATCTACATGCCAGCAATTTACTATGTGGGTTTAGAATTTCATGAATCATATAGGTACCCTTTTTTTTTTCTTTTTTTTTTTTTTTTTTAAAGTATGGAGAAAGGTAGTAAGTAGGAGCCAGAGATTTGATATAGCTTCCATACAAGGAAAGTTGAAATAGCAGTAACTTAAGAAGGAAATAATAAAGTATTTTATGAAAGCATTGAGTAGGGATTGGTTACTCACTGCTTTTTACAGTGTAGGAATGAGGGAGTAGGCAATAAATTCTTTTAAGTGTAACAGTGCCAGCAGGTTATGTAAGCTGGAGTGTACAAATAGGTGTGAAAAAGAAGTAAACAAATATATGAATTATGTGTCTATCAGACAATTAAATGGTTTAAACATGGTTGTGATACATTGTTGATTTACTTTTGATCACACATGCTGACTCTGAAAGACAGGGTACTGAAGTAGGATGGATTTTTTTCTTAGCTCTTTGCAGCATTTCTCATGTTTCCCAACGAAAGCCTGTATCGTAAGACCTTTTGCAAATTATTCCTGTGTGGTCGGCATCTGGAGTTGAGATTTATGGTCTCTTCCCTTCCTTTCAAATCTAGTTGTTTAAATCGATGTGTCATGCTCAAAACAGTGTTTAAATGCAAAGAGGAAGCGCTCCTTGGGGGGGTGGTGGTATAATGCCTTTTATATATGTTAAATGCTCTTCCTCTGTTATTCCTAAACCCAGTTTTGTCTAGTACTGGGTCTTTATTTCCTGAGCTGATTGTTGGTGATGTCTTTGTAGCCAAGGGGTCTCCTAAGCCAAGCCTCTTCTCTTGCCATCCTCACTGCTTTCCCGTGTCCCATTGCTGTACCCTGTAGCTGTATGCTGCACCGTGTCCCCCATCTCCATTTCTGAAGGCCTCTGCTATCATACTCTGTATTTCTCTGTAGCGCATCATTATATTGATCATAAATATCTCATTCGCTGTAGAATAACTGCCTCAGCCCCTTCTGTCCACCGTGGTAAAGCAGTCTCTGAGTTGCATGGATTTGTGTCTCCAGGCTAGGAGACAAGCTCTTGTTGGTGTAATCTCACATGGGTTACTACAAGTACTACCTGTGCAGTTAAATCCTTGGCACGCTCTCTGGGACAACCAGTTCTCTTAGGCCAGCGATGCAGGAATCAGCACAGGACATGGACAATACCCAGCTGGCAGCTCGGATGTTTCCAGCCTGCTTTGGAGGCCATGAGAGTTTAATAGTATTGATGAGGCCAGACTCTGCTATTTCAGCTCAGGGGCAGAGAACAAGCATTGATACTATTTGGTTTGCCAGAAGAGATGTGTTCTAAAGAGATGTTGACCTTCACAAGCAAATAACACACATGGGTTTCAGTACAACCAGTAGCAGAGGTGAGCTTTGAATTAGGCCAGGTTTGGGTGGCTGTGCCTTGAGTACATGAGGACTGACTTGCTATTGCTGCTTTCTGTTAATATGACACTATGGAGAGCAACAGATATTTCTGCTGTCTTGCTTGAGAGTCACTACTGAAAATGTCCCAAAAGAAGCCACTGTGAAGCTCCAAACATTTGTTAAACCTCTGGGTCTGTCTTTCAGTGAGCTTTGATTCCAGTGTGAAAGATGTGCATCTGGGTATGGGGAGAATATTTAATTCTTCCAGATTTTTTTTTTTCTCCCCAGAATGAGGTGGATGACCTTGGCATCCAGCCTGGGCCAACCCACCACAAGCATCTCAAACAACACCCAAGATCTAGACAGAAGTCACAAGGGCACATATAGACACTTACATTCCGACACATAAATTTATATGTCTGAATTTGTAGTTGAATCCTGCCGGTTGCATGTGTTTTTAACTATAATAACAGCATGTGGCTTGAGGTACTGCTGACACCAGCGTGGGAAGAGCAGCTCTGAACGTTTTTCTTGCTGGACGTCACTGTCCTTTGCTAATGAAGGCAGTTAATTCCAGTGTTGGTTCCTGGTATTGTCCAAATTACTAGTCTGCACCACCTCTTCCAGCACCTTGCAGAAGATAGTTTAAAATGGGAGGACACTTGTTTCACAGGGTATCTGGTCCACTACCCTGATTCTCTTGCACATTGTAAGGATTACTAGCCTTTGTTACTTAGTCAGTGTTTCTTAGCTTTCCATGTTATAGCATGTCAATTTTACAGTATATCCCCAGAGATGAACCACGAGCTTCAGGGGAAGGACCTTAGAGAAGTAAGCCCACTGAAATATTCTTAAGGGTCTGGGGAGGAAATGTTGGCTTGTTCACTATATTTTCTACCTATTTCTTCTGGTACTGACATAAGGGTGTCCTTAGTCCTATATAAAAATTGCTGTGAAGGTTTAATGCAGACAGCATACGCCCAGGAGGTGTATTATAGAAAGCAAGAGAGGAGAAAGTGCATCCTACACAGATTAGAGTGAAAAAGTAGATTGGTTAATACTGAAGAGGCTATTGCTTCCTCCAAGGTTTGCCTGTCCTCTAAGCTACTGGCTTGACTTACGTCAACACTGTCACTCAAATCTCCCTTGTTTCAGATAATGTGGACTAGAAGTGTACCAGTGGCACATCGCTGGCCAAAAAACTGCCAGGGAGACTCTGAACAACAGCTGTCAAGCTGCTAAAAATTCAAATAATATGAGTTCTGGCTTTACGCAGTTTCAAAGCTTCACATAGTACCCAACTGATTGGCCTGATAGTTTTCCTTCTTGCATCTTTTGGCATCACTAACAGTGTGAGTGAGAAAGGTAAGTTTATGTACACAGACCTTTGCAAGGGCCAGAGTGGTACAGGGCTGGATGCCTGCAGGTTTTTGAGAAGGTGATGCTGGACATATTCATGGGCTGACTGCAGGGTTACTGGACTTGCAGTGTGTACCTGACAGGATAGTACTAGTGGAAGGCCCCTCCTCTTGCTAACTCTGTGCCTGGAGCACAGGAGGCACGTAGCCTTTTAGGGCACAAAGGATTTTGAATTATCACCTGGACTTAAAAAAAATGACACAATTTTCTAAAAGGAGGACAGAAAAGGTGGATTGAGGCATTTAATTTACTGATATTTAAAGATTCCATTATTGGTTTAGCTTTCTGAGGTTCATACTACAGTAAATATCAGAACGTCACTTGTATGTGCACTTCCATTTGAAATACAATACGTGTATCTGAATCACTCACCCAAGGCTGGCAGCTTTCATTTCAGAAAACCAAGATATGGTTCTACTTCACCAAATTTTAAAAACTGAATATATTTTTTGAGCAAAGCAAGGGTTCCTGGCAGGAGGGGGTTGTTAGCATACAAAGAGAATGTCTGCAAGACCACAGAGAAGTGGGAACTGCAGGAAATGATAGTGCTTTGTTAGTGTGTGAGCAGGGGCACAGATGGATGCACTCCTGATTCAAACACCAATCTGGGTTTAAGGCAGCTCAGTATTTTAGAATAACGGAATATATCAAGATTATAATCCTTGTATTTTTCAAGTCCATGTAGATTCTGCCATTGCCTTTGGTAGGGCCAGATGTCTACCTCTAGATTCTCTCTCATTCAGCCCAATTAGACCATTTTACAGAAGCTTTGGAGATTCTATATTTATCAAGAGGGGGAATAATTTCCAGGTAACTACATCCAGGGGTTGTTTGACTTGAAGAGACTAAATAACCATCTGATAAAACAGAGGTACCCCAGCATAGCCTGAGGTGGTCATGCTATGTAGGATCCTGCCATATGAAAGGCAGCATTTCAGGCTGCTGAGGCAAATAAGAGCAGGATCAGTTAAGACAAGACTGACTTTTTGGTTCAAAAGCCTCAGTGTATAGTCAGTGGAGGGAACTCACTGAAGCACTGGTATGAGTTCTGCTGCTTCTATCTTCTTGCCTTCAGAAAGATATTGATGAGTAGAACTTGAAATTCTCATGTAAGTGGATTTATCTTCACCTACTCCTAGAAGTATTCAGTTAATGGAAGAGCATGAGGAGCCCTCTGCCATGTGAAGAGAAGATGGCTTTCCATTCATGAAAGAAAAAGTGACATACTGGGGTCTATAGACTCAGTACTGGAGAAGGCTGTGGCCACAGTGTAGACATTTTAGACTGGCTATTAGGAAGCATTTCTTTCCAGAAGGGGTTGTTGGGCGTTGGAATGGGCTGCCCAGGGAGGTGGTGGAGTCCCCATCCCTGGAGGGGTTGAAGAGTAGGGTCGACATAGCCCTGAGGGATCTGGTGTAGCTGGGAACTCTCAATGTTAGGTAAATGGTTGGACTGGATAATCTTCAAGGTCTTTTCCAACCTAGACAATTTTGTGATTCTGTGATTTTGATATACTTGCAACAGATTCTCACAGAGGCATACATGATCTTGTGCCTGTCCATAACTCCTTTTCTGGTCATGCTTTGTATATTAGTCCCAAAATGATATGAATGCTTCATAGGTGATCCCTTTTAATTGCCAAAAATATTTTTTAAGAGAAATGAGAAATTATATGATGGCTTGATAAAGGCATCTACAGGAAAGAGAATGAATAATGTAGTATCTGAAGTTTTCTTCCTATAGCACTTTTAGGTGGATATTGGTTTAATACATGTTATTCTGCACCTGGGTTGAAGTTTAGACAGAGCACACCACAAATTGTCATTGACTGCATGGTGGGACAGTAGGAAGAAATATAAGGTTTACACTAGCAATATCTAGGAGGGCCCCTTCTGATCTTTGATGAGCAGGTTTCCAGTGATGTGTAAAGACTTTGGTTTGGGGAAAATTCTCTTTGCAATGTCTATTCCAAACACTTTTTATTCTTCAGAGCCAATAGAAAAGACAGGACAAGCAATACGTGCATAGAGAAGAGATGACCATCATCATGTTTTGTGAGGGAAGGGTCCCCTACGCACCCCGTCATGATCACTCAGTAAACACTAATGTTCTTTGCACCAGCACTTGGCCAATGAGCTGTGACGTCTCTGGATGGCTCCCTGAGGATGCTGGGCCTGAACCAGGAGTACCCCTCAACTCCCATGCTGCTTACAGGGAGAGAGCAGACACAGAGGCTTGAAGCAGTATTGTCCTCGGGCTATTTCAGCTCTGAGAAAATGTCAGCTTCCTTTTACTGCTGCCAGGAGGTGGGAGCCCTCTGCCAGCTGGAATTTGCAGACAGTATTTATGCAATGTTTAAGAGCAAGACAAAAAGTTCATTACAAAAGCACCAGCTATTTGCCGTGGGTGCATACTTTATTTACTGAGGTTATCCAGTTACGGAGTGTTCAGGAAAAATCTTAATGACCCTCTGGACTCAGGTCAACTTGGATTAAATTTTTTCCTGAGAAGCAATCTGCTGTAACAAGTCCACAACAGGTTGTGGTTGTTTGGTTTTTTTTGGTGGTTTTTTTTGTTTTTTTTTTTTGTATGGTAGGCTGTGCCAGAAACATCTGTTTTAGAGAAATAAATTTACAGAGCTGTTTGTCTTACTTGTAGCATTATTGGCCTTTCATCACTGGAAGAAGGTCAACAGAAAATAGCAGGGAAATGAGAGAGAAATAATGATTAAAGAGGAAATGGCCACTTTACAGATACAATTGTTAGGTGATGGGGGGAGAGTTTCTGTTTCTCTTCAGGTTGAGAAGCACTCAGTCAGCTGGTGTGTCTGACACTAGTGTGTCCAAACTGTCCAAGGCAACTGGGCAGCTCAACAGACTAAGTAAACTTGTGATTGTAACTGGATCTTTGGGGTGAATATTAGATGTGAATAAATGTTGTGTTTCTGGTACTACTGGGTTTTGCCTTCTGAAGTGTGTGGGTCTTGCCTGGAGGAGTTACAGCCTCCGTGGCAGTGTTCATCCTGGTGATCCTGCAAACGTCAAGCAGCTGTTCCATAACTCATGAACAATCTGGCATTTTCTTCTTTCAGATGATGTCCACCTTCTTCTGAAGTAGTAAAGACCTAGAAATGGAGGTTTAGTTTTTTCAGGGCTGATGGTAGCTCCTGGCAAGAAGTAGTGTAAAGAATAGGAGTCTCTTTTGCTCATGAAAAAATAATTTATTTTCATCACTTTGTTTCCAACCCGCCAAGTGAAAAAACAGCAATTAAACTAGGTGGTTTTCTTCTGAAATGGTAAAGCTGAAAAAAGACTACAAAATCCATTTTGATCTGGTTCCCTATTGGAAGATAAGTAGATGGAACAGTCTCAGTAGGTTAGTGTGAATCAATATGTACAGAGATGGTTAGATAAGATTAGCTGATTTGTACATACAGAAACACTCCCTCAGGAAAACACAGTGCAATTGTATCAGCTCCCTTCTCTTCATGCACTGCAATCATGCTTTCAATTATCACATTCTTATGGCTTCAGAATCTTTATTTATAAGATAAGTTCAAAACTTCTGGTTCCGTTAGATGTCTTATATAATTGAGATAAATGTGTTTTGCTTAAAGGTCAACAGGAGCAAGAAATGCAAACACCTGGTCCGTTTTGAGTACTATGATGATACGAGAAGGAATAGCTTCAGAAAACGAAATGTGATCACCAACTTCTAATACCTTTCCTACAGTGATTCCCTTTTGAATGTCTTGCCAGCAGAGGAACTTCCTATATTTTCATAAATGATTTGAAGATTTAAAATTCAGGGGCAGATAATGAAAAAAGTATTTTTATTCCTGTTAAAGCTAATTCAATAGTAATTTCCACAGATATTATCTAACTGATGAAAAGTGTCACTTTCTCCAAGTGCGAACCTAGCTCAGAAGACAGACACACATAAGATTGCAATGGAAACGTCCTGTAAGTTACATCAGGTTTTCTCACAGGATCCTTGGGCTAAATAGCAACAGAGGCTGTGAGTATCTACAACTTCCAGTGCAGCAGCTCTGATTTTTTAAAGTTGTTCCCCTCAAGATACAAAATGGTACCCAATAATGAGATTGTACAGTTAGCAGAGTTGGTGCTTCAGGGGGGATAACACCATGAGGACAGACAGCTCAATAAGCACCATGAAGGTATGTAGGAGTGTTCTCCTATTGTATCCAACAGATTTAACCACCATTTGGCATTGGTTTTCTGGTCTGTCCTCTACTGGAACTGGAAAATGTACTGTTTAAATTAGCCAGGCTGAAGGACTCATTTGGAGACATTTCTAATTGTTTGCAAAAAGTGGGAAAAAAAATAGACTCCTGTCACCATTACACCTGTACAGTCCTCTGTGGCCACAGGAGTGTGTGGATGTATGTATTTGAAAAAAAAAAAAAAAAAAAAGAAAAAAAAGACTTTCACACAGAATCACACAGAATCATCTAGGTTGGAAAGGACCCTGGAGATCATCTAGTCCAACCGTTCGCCCAGCACAGTTCCCCCCTACAGCATATCCTTAAGCTCTAAATCGACCTGACTCTTGAACCCCTCCAGGGATGGGGACTCCACCACCTCCCTGGGCAGCCCATTCCAACGCCCAACAATCCCTTCTGGAAAGAAATGCTTCCTAATAGCCAGTCTGAACTTTCCCTGGCGCAACTTGAGGCCATTCCCTCTTGTCCTGTCGTTTTCTACTAGGTTAAAGAGGCTCAAATCCTCAAGTCATAGGTCAGATCCTAAACCACCTACTAAAAGGCTAGGGCTTCTTACTGTGTTCAGGCCTGAAATGGATGCTCCAGGGGAAGGAAATAATATTAGCTTTCTCAGGACTCTTGTAATGAACAGGAAAATCTTCATCTTGCCAAGGTTTTCACCTGCACCTGCTCTGCCACCTAGATTGGAAGGTAGGAGAGAGACAAATTTTAAAAGTTTTTGTCTCTGGAATTTGGAAACAAAAATCTTTTTATCTAACACCTTTGTGAATCCAGAAACTAAAATAAACAGATCTAAATGAGAGGTTTACTACTTCTTTGTGAAAATTTTCCTTAAAACTAAAAGGAAATTATTACATTAGAAGAGTTCAAGAGGAGGACAAACTTTCTCCTGAAAATAAAAATGATGCAACCACTCATGTAATTTGGGGATTTTCGTACTAATTTCACTTTTGAGTCTTTAATCATTGGTCTCTATCAGGCTACCTACATTTGAACACTCACAGATGTTTGAAGTATCTGCATTATCTGAAATAGGCTCATGGGGCTTATATGGCACTGGACCTGTCCCCCAAGCCTGGCAGCTGAAGGCTAAGCAAAAGACCCCAGGGTATCTGAAATGATGCTAGAGGCTTGGGGTTCAAGCAATTGAATTGTGCTCTGTATATCAACTTTAAAGTGGATTGAAGCCCCTTGTAATTATTCAATTATTTGCAGTCTAATGATCAGAATCTTGTCTGGGTAGGGAGGCAAAGGCATATGGAGAAACGTTGATATGAAACCCCCCAAACCAAGGGAATGAGATCAAATGAAAGGGAATGTTCAGAGGAGTGTCTCCTTTCAGAAGGAATGTGTTGCTTCAACACCTACTCTCAGGAGAAATGGCAGGACAAGGAGTATTGTCCTCCTAGTGCCAAGTAAAATAACCAGTCTAAGAAAAGCTGAGCTTGAAGGCATACCACAGGGGGTCAGCACGGATCACTGCCCAGAGGCAGGGACTGAACGCTCCTGAAGACGCGAAGGATTAGGGAGAAGAGCCAAGGGGAGAAGCTGCAATGAGGTATTGGGGAACATTGGTACATCCAACCCAGCTTCAAACCTATCTATCATCCTGCCGACATCAAACAGTCCTTCTGTTCTGAAGGCCTGAAGCTCTGAATATTCCACCTTCACCACAGAGGCTCTGCAGTGCTTATCTTTAAGCAGGGTAGTAAAACTTAGGCACAACTTCATGGTCCATATGTCTCTTTGGAGAAACCTGGATTTAAGCATATTTCTGGAGGATGTGCTTTCAACAAACAGGTGAAAATTGAAGTAAGACTTTGCAAGCTGAGAGTCTGTATTATTGAGCCCAGATTAGGTGATCTAATAGGTTAATCCATTAATCACCAACTAGTCCACACTTCTGATCTACTTCTGCCTTTCCCTGATTAATAATAAAAAGATAAACAACTCTGTTTTAGAAGTACTGGAAACTGTCATTGAGATGTAATGTTGTGAATTATTTTGGCCAAAGAATTAAGGCAGATATAATGGAAAATTAATATAGAAGTGGGGTTTTTTTTTGTTGTTTGTTTGTTTGTTTGTTTGGGTTTTTTTTTTATGCTGATTAGAGCTCTAGGAACGTGTTACAGCACATATTTTATAGGGTTTGGGGATGATGTTAAATGAAACAGCAGGGCTGAGGTCCAGGTCTGAGATAGAAACTCCAGGGGGAGGGTGGAAGGTGAACTTCTGCAGGAGACTGGTGAAGAAGAGGAAGAGCTCCATTTTGGCAAGAGTCTCACCGGCACAGATCCTCCGCCCTGGAACAAAATACAGAAGGGTCATAAGAGAGTCAGTGGGAACTGCTTCTTCAACAGTTGGAAGAAATAAAAACCTCTGAGAGAGCAGCTTTGATTTCGAGGAAGATCAGTGAGAATCCAGAACACCTGAAATAACATATCCGAGATATGAATAAAGAACACAGTAGCTCTTAAAAGTGTATTGAGTTCAATAATCATCTGAGAGAGAGGATCCTTCATCTTCAGAGGTATGATAACAAAGTCACCCGGTGATTTTTTTTTCTTTTTTCTTTGTCTAAATGCTTGCATTTGGGGAGAAATATATGGAAATGCAATCTGAATTCCTTAATACCAGTTTTCAAGAAAATTTGTATTTCTCTTCATTTTCAGATTTTTCTGCTATTTGGTTCAATTTTTAGATCCCAGACCAATTTCGTTTAGTTTAGTCTAGACTTTGGCTTTATTAGTCTAGTCACAGGCACTGTTTTGTATTAAAACTTATCAGAAAAGACCCTGGAAACTCACAAATGCTGCCTGGAGTGGGACTGAGGAGAAAGGTGGTGGAGATATTCTGTGGAGCCCCCAGTATAAGCCTTTCTTCAACAGTGCTGTGATTATAAAGTTTTTTTCAGTCATAGACAAATTCAGCAGCTTGTAAACTCCATTAATCAGAGCATGTTAATTTGAGGCCAGAACTAACAGAAACCTGAATTAAGATTTGATTTTAACTCCCTTGTATGACAGAAAGTGGAAAATAAAGAGCTATGGTATGGCTGTGCTATGAAATAAGCCCTCCAGGGAATGCCCAGACCTGACATTCCCTGGATGTGCTTTCAGCAAGGACATCTAGACTTAAATCAGAAAAAGAAAGACTGTGAATTGGAAGTATCATAAGTCCTTCTATATATAAAATATATATATATATATATATGTTGCATGATGAGTATGACAGGAAAAAACCTTATTCAAATATCATGCAGAATTGAAAATACACATATGGGGTCTATAAAAAAATGCAGTGTGTTGTGGATATGATAGACAAGTTAGACAGAGACTGATGTATAGAACTTAACTGAGCAATGACAGAGCCCGCAAAGCAAGGAGAAATGCCAGAGAAGGAGAAGTCATCATGGCAGTCGGAATCTCCCATGCTTTGGCAAATGGTGCAGTTGTGTAAGCTTAGGTGAACGCCACACTCTGTGGAAGCCTCAAAAGGCAACCCCTTTCCGTGATTTTACACATAATTTAGGGGTTTATATAAGGCACCTCCTCTCTATTGATACAGTATATGCAGTTTTAATCCCAGCTGATGTTATTTGTGACTTTTTAAAAAGGATATGCAAAAATGAAACAGAAAAGACACAGAAGCCATCTCCCCTGTGTGCTCCATGTGTGGTTATAGACGATGCAGCTGGGTATGGTAAGAGTCAGAGACAAAGAAACCCAGGCCATAGAGAAGTTTTGGGCTACAGATTATAATGCAGAAATGTGTCATCTAAACCATCATGGAATTGACTGAAAACTTCCCTTATATTTAAGAAGGCACTATAAATTCTCAGTTATAATCACTGGATACTAACTGAGAAACCAACAACATCCAGAGGCCGGAGGAATTAGCAGACATTTGTGAGTGCTCTCTCGTATCAGAGGTGTGTCCCGAGAAATCTGGGAAATCTGGGTTTTGAAATGGTCCCGTGAAAAAAGAGTGGGGGTCAGTGTGGAGGCCAACAAAAAAGCCTACTGATACAAGCAGTTCTTTTCTAAGATCTGTATTTGCAACAGCAGTAGATAGGAAAGAGAAGGTACCTGCTGAGAAAGGCATGAAAGCATCTTTCTTCACAAATTTTCCGTTGGCATCAAGAAAGTGCTCAGGATAGAACATGTCCGGTTTCTCCCACTGCGATTTGTCTTGCAGGACAGAGGTCAGTAAGGGGATGATGTAGGTTCCCTGCAAAATAAGGCTGTGGAACTAATCTGTGGGCAAACATTGTAGTGGCAGTAACGGCAACGAGACTTAAAGATTGTCAGCCTGGAGAAGGAGCTGTTATGGGACTTCATTAGAGGGTTCGTGTTTGTCACATTAACCAGGTCTGAGAAAGAAGGAATGCAGAAAGAAGTGATCCTGTAGGCATCTCACCTTGGGGATGAAATAGCCGTTGAGAGTGACATCTGCAGCAGTCTCATGAGGCAAATCCAATGGCAGGATATTAGCGAATCTCTGAACTTCATGGATGACAGCATCTGTATATGGCATCTGAGTCCGATGCTCAATCCGGGGGGGGTTTGACCCTATCACTTGCTCTATCTCTTCTTGGACCTTTCCTGAGGAAAGAATCAACTATAAAAAAGAGACAAGGACTCATTCATCCTTGAGACATACTGTGTTTTACTGATGTAAAGTATAAAAGACCTTGAGTGAAAACCATAAATTCTCCCAAAATCTTTTTTTCCTTTCAGAAATAATCAGAGGTGGACAGAGCTACAGTGATTATTTCTTAACCAATAAGAAACCTAAAGACTTGTATTTTTCTGCCCTGTCTTCTACCTAAAGTTTCTTGCTCTGACCAAGAGATGTCCCAAAACCCCCACATGACTCCTAACAACCCTGTACTATAAACTGGAATAGAGATGTTAGACAAAGAGCAGTTCCCTGAATCTTCTCAGGTATTTAAAGCCTCAGTACAGTCCATTTAACATCTGCACAGGCCCTTGGTTTATCAACAGACTGTTTTTGAGGGAAACCTGGAACAATTTCATTGGCCAGCAGAGGACAGCTCTCTTCTTTTTAATTACTGAGCAAAGGACCTGGCCCATATGAACTCTGTTTATAATCTACTGGTAGGTTGACTGGCGTGCCCCTCACTGGATCTGAGTCACAGGGTACAGTGATACTTAGACAATAATTAGCTGGAAATCTTGTTTTTTTAGTGTATTAACAGATATGTTGACCCTCCAGGTTCCCCTTCAGTTCCCAATGCACTGGGTGTAACAACATCTGTCATAAACCCACTTACTCTGAATTTCAGGGTACTTCAGCATCAGCAGAAAGCTCCAGTTCAGTGTGGTGGAAATTGTCTCAACACCAGCAGTAAACAAGTTGGTCACCAAGCCAATCAAGTTGCCATTATGGAAATACCCATTGGTAGTGGATTTCTCCTGAAAGAAGTGGTTGAAATAGAAGGATGAAAAGTTAAAGCTTTGCGTGTGAAAATGCAAGTTACGCAGCTAAACATTTACTAAGAAATAAATCCTGTATCTTTAAAAAAAAGTGTGAAAGATAAGGAAGAGCTTTAGACTTGTACCTGGAAAAGAGTGTTGACATAGGCTTTATGTTTTGCATGATCTCTGCATTTACTGGAGCCAGCTTCAGAGCTGGTTTCTTTGTGGAGAAGGTAACTCAGATATATTAAACCCCAAATAAGGATCCCAGTAAAGACCAGGGAGCACTTTTGTTCTGTAATGCATTGTTTTTGAGAGAGCTAGAAGGGCTAGGACAACAGAGAGAGCAGATAAAAAGATGCAGCCTCTGTAAATATATTGATACAGTCTGAAAAGAAGCATAAATAAAGATAAATGTTTGCTAATTAAAAGGGTTTGCAGCAGGGTGAAATATCTGTTCAGCTCTACCAGTTCATTATATGTGTTTTGTCAAAGATAGATTCCCTAAAGAAATATAGCTATAATTATAAGGATGGAAAGGAAATCGTAAATGTCTTCATATAACCATAAAAGTTGGAATGAATGAGAAAAGATTCAGTTACCTCCTGCTGTTTAACCAGGAAAGCATCGATAAAACTTCTTTGAAAATTTTTGTCTAGGGTTTTGAGATGTTCCACAAAAGTAACTTGTATATAATCAAGGAATTCTTTTCTGTTTCGGAGCAGATTCTTGTTAGCCCTTAGGAGGAGTCCAAGGTATGGGAAGATGTTGTACAGCTACAAGAGCGAAAGACATTAAAGAGAATTTACCAGCTAGAGGTCTGAAAAGACTACAGAAACAAACTAATAATATTGTGCCTGTTTTGCAGATACAAAGACTTAACTTTATTATCTTGTTCTTTAGAACATCAAAAACTGACTGGATGAATTCATGGTAGAATATCCACCAAGGACCACCGAATACATGGAAAACTCTCAGCCCCAAATTACTGTTTTGCAGGAGTAGTGTAGATGTCAGGCTCAAACACCTGCAACTTGCCACCAGGGAGATGAAAATGTTGGTCAGCAACTTTTTTTAATGTTTTAGCCAGCTGTTCTGCTATTTGTCTTTTTCTTTTATTTTTTTCCCCCCGTTTCAAAGCCTAAAGGAATAGAAGTGAATCTGGTGTGCGGCACTATTGTATGTGAGTATCAGAGAGTATTTATTACTCATTGAGACATTTCACTGCGCTAGAAGCATGGGAAAATAGATTTTGTAGCAGGGCTCCTTGTACAGGTAGACCATATACTCTATAGCTTCTTCCTGCCCCTTGTTCTGAGCGTGCACTGTTTTGCCTGGTCACATTATACCTGTGAACCATATTTTTGGGCAATGCTGAGCTTGCTTTTCATGCACTCCATCGTCTGATTTTTCCAGTCCAGATTTAGCACCCTTCAGACTAAATCTTAATTATGTTTTTGAGAGGCTGAGGGTTTGATTGTTGCTTTCGAGATTTTCAGACTGTCTCTCAAGCTTTGTTTTGCCCCAGAAAGTGCTTGTAAACCTATTATCTCTCAGTCTCAGATTTTTCTGTTTAATAGAAACAACTGACTACCAGTATTATTACATTCCTATAGCATCCAGTGAAACAGCAACATAAAAATATGTATCATTACCATAACCAAAGGTTTCCCGGCGAGCCTCATGTTTTCGTTGGTCAGCTGTATAAGTCTCACAAATCTGGAGTCTTTGTAGTCAAAACGGTTTCCAAGTAATATTGACACGATTATGTTAGCAACTGCTGCATTAATTATTTTACTAAGGTCAAAGGGCTTTCCTATACAACAAGCAAAAGAATACATTACATTGTGGCAAGTGATGTAATTTGTAAATGTAAATTTAATACTAATTATTGCTAGTTATTTGTTATGATTGCTTGCTATTATTGGTTATTATTCAGTGTTAGAATACGATGCCAAGACGCAAAAATGCCAGAGGAGCCAAATTCATCCAATTGGTTCAGCCTGAAGTACATTTCTTAAAAATGTCTGAACTTGACAAGGCTACTGGCAAGCTTCTGGATACTTGAACAAAACGCAAGAGGTTTGAAGAATGAATCATCTACCCACCTTCTTGTGACCCAATGATATCTGCCAGATACCCATACTCCTCCACAATGCGGTCCTCAATGGCCCTTTTCCCCATTCCGAAGTCCCGTAAGGTTGTGAGAGTAAATCTTCGCATCACTTTCCAGTTTTCCCCACGAGCAAAAACAACCCCTGGCACAAAGAGAACATTTCAAGGCGGCAGAAGTTTTTAAATTTGTAGACAAATAATGTAGGTATCTAGTAGCAGTCAGTTTGAAAACAAGCTAAATTACATCTGGTTGAGGGAAAAAAAACCTTTCCCTTAGGAATTTTCAGGCCTTAACAAAAGATTTAAAAAAAAAAAAAAAAAAAAAAAAAAAAAAAAAAAAGAAGAGGATAAACTATCTAAGAGTAATTTAGTCAAATCTTAAGAAGAATGTATATCTCTGAGAGACATTTGTCACTGAAAGAGGGCATTGGAAATTCAAGTGCAAACCACAGATCATCATCGTTTGGAAGTGGAATTGAACTGAGATCTCATGTCTCTGATGACTGCAAGAGAAACTTGACCATGCACAAATGTCTTTAAAATTTAGGCAGCATCTTAAATCCTCCTCAATCATTTTTTTTCACTGAAATCGTTGCATCATGTAATTAATTACTTTCATTATATTGTTTTCAAGGAGAAATATACGGTGTAAAGGAATCTTACATGCAATAATGTGATCAAAAGAGTCACAAATGTTCACAGAATTATTCCTGATTTTGTCCAAGGGTTCTTTGGAGATACAAATACGAAACTTTCATGGAAATTTAGAATGAAGTTTGGTTGTGAAATTCTCCTTTGGAAACCCAGCTCAGTCAGTATATAGTATTTCCCTTATTATAATAAATCCCAAATTCTGTTTGTGTTCCATTCTATTGTTGCATTCAGATTTTAAAAGCACTATTCACCACGTGAAATGAGGAGCAGCAGTATAATAGTCATTTCAGGAAAAGAAGGTTTAATAATAAACCCAAACCAACAGAAGTTCAGAACTGTATCATGAGAGCTAGAAACACCTTCTCTGGAAGATCTTGGAAGTGTGACACTATCCATTATCTGTTACTGTGCTTATTGCTGTTAGGGTTGCTTTGTTGTCACTGTCAGCAGTTTCAAATTTGAATAAATGTGCTGAAGTCAATTGGATTGCTCCCTATTTCCAATGCCTCATATGATCTCTGATTCAAAACAATGTGCCAGCTTCTGCTTTGTCTGTAGGAAAAAAAACTTTTTTAATAAGTCAAGTTGGTAAGGAAAAAATAAAACAAACTTACCATTTCCTTTGGTCAAATCTTCAAAGATTGGGACTTTAGGTCTCTCTGCAAATGCATCTGCATGGTTTACAAGAGCTTCCTTCACTGTTTTATACCCAGAAATCACTACTATCTTCCTTTGCCCCATCTGCACACTGAAGACTGGACCATATACTTTTGACAGCTGTCAGAAGAAGATAACAGTGATTTACATCTTTTACAGCTTACAAAGAAATGAGCACCTTTTCGGTGCTCCCTATTTTCATGTCCTACCTCCAAGTTACTAAAATGTTAAATATTTTCCTAAATACAGAGAAAGGGAATTGATTTATATAACGTGAATGTGCCAGACATTATGATGGTGAATGATTAAATGGCACATTCAGGAGTGGAGTCCCGTTGTGCTAAACTGAGCAGAAGTGTTAGCTGAAACCCCAAGTCAGTCAGGGATTGTGCTGACTTCTCTGTCTTTCCCTCAGAAACCCCTGTGAATTCAGGTTTTGATTCATGCTTTCACACTCATCTCTCTCTCTATGCTATTGTGTTTTTCTTTACAGGCTAAACCTGTTCAAACATTTGCTACCATTATTGCAAAAAACCCCAATTTGTTTCTGGGCCAGGATCAAACATTAGGTAAATTCTACCTTTTTATGAATTACTACATCCACCACGAATCTGTCTCAGAGACCATGTTTGGCCCAAGCTGGTACCTTTTTAGCTTGTACAGGCAGATTTATTTTCATGTAGCTAAATGTTCCTGATTCTCCTGACAATAGGAGGGTTTTTTCCTGACATTTTCTAGTGTGTTTGCACAGAGAAACAGAAGCAACTCTTTGGCATCGATATGCAAAATGTTCAGCAATTGGTAAGTAAGTCCAGCCAACTATATGAAATAATGTAGCAGCAGTGACTTGCCTGAATTAAGAGTAGCTTCTTTGATGGTGATACTGTTATCCCAGGCTGCTGTAGATGGGGCAGAATATGATTTTTTCAAAGGGAGTTCTCCAATAGGGACTTTCCACTGCTTGCAGTGGTGATGCTCAGGATGAGCATATGATCTCCAGTTGCATTTACACACTATGTGTGAATATTAAACTCTGAGCTAAGCTCAAGTCAGAGAACCAACCTCCTTCATTAGAATGGATTCACTGAATTACAGCAGAGACATGTTGGTAGCCTTAAAAGAGATGGAGCTTGCTTTTGCCAACACAATTAGTCTGCACTGGATAGCTGCACTGATTTTCCAGATCTGATCTTCCAGATCAGTTCCATCTGAGCAGTCTTTTGATTTCTAGATGTAACATATATACAGATATGTGGGTGCAAACATCCCTTTTAAAATGATCAGCAAGAAGAATGTGCAATTTCAATGTCTAAGTAGAAAAAACTCAAAGGAGCAGGTTCATAGAAGTCTTCTGACTCAAAATCAGGAAAGTCCTACAATAAACTAGGTAAAGAAAACAACTAGAAGAAAACCGAGATATTTATTACTTTGATTTTCTTAGTTCTTTGGTTTGTATTCTGGCAACTGTTGGTCCTGAATATTAAGAGTATGTAGTTATCTTCAGCTTTTGGAGAAGAAAGGAGGAAAGAGAGATGCTAAATCAGTCAGGGCAGGAAGCTGCAGCCACATTCCTGAACACATTAATCAGTGGAAGGTGGAGGGAGTTAGATCACATATCAGAATCTCTCCTTATTCAGTTACCTTATTCTAAAAAATTGCTATAACAATAAAGTGAGCACTTGTTATTAATTTGAGAGTTATTTAAGTCTGAAACCTAGATACATGGAGGAAGTATTACAGTAAAAACCAAATCTTGCTACATTCAAAGATTCCTGCTCAAATAACCATCTCCTGTCCCCTGCTAAGGGTCATGCAACACATCAGGTGAATTAGGAGAAACTCTCTGAAATCGTGGACTATGGGGCTTGGTGATATGTGCAATTATGGCACCAATAGAAAAGATAATGACTACCTGTAGATAAGTCCTGTAGGGTCTCTTCAAATCAAACAAATGCAGATTTCCAATGATTGGTAGTGCTCTTGGTCCTGGGGGAAAATTCTTTCTCCGGCGGTTGTTCCAGAAACCTCCTATTTTCAAAATGTATAGAAAAGCCAGGATGAACACTAAGCCAATGGAGGTGCAGTGGCTCCAGTCCATCTCTATTCAGCCAGGTGTTTGCTACAGAAAAGAGAAAATCTGGACTCTGAATCTCTGTTGTCTTGCAAAAATTTTCTGAGAGAGACACTTGTACTAGTCCATAAACCCCTTTCCCAGTGAAGGGTGTGCTTTTTATTGTGATTGGTGACTGGTTTTATTCTCTTCCTCTGTGCTTGCTAATGAATCCTCAGTATGGTACAGAGGCAAGTAAATGTTTGCTAGCTGAGTGTGTGACTGGGTGAGCATGTAGCTCACTGTCCAATCATGAAAGTCCAAGAATATGAAGAACAACAGGTCACCGACCTGGTATTTGGCATAAAAGTCATAAATTCTGCATGTTCTTCAGATTATTGAGTAGTTATATTTCATCATTAGTACAGGCACAGCCTTGATACACTGATAACTGAAATCAGACTATCAGTAACCAAGTTATTAGTGCACAAAGATTTGAGTTTTTTTTAAACCACTTAGGAATTGATATAGTTTTGCTGCCATTGAATTAATTGGGAATTTCAAGCCACAGAATCACAAAATGGTTGAGGTTGGAAATGACCTCTGGAAGTCATCTGGTCCAATCCACCTGCTCAGGCAGGGCCACTCAGAGCCAGTTGCCCTAGACTATGTCCAGATGGCTTTTGAATATCTCCAAGGAGGGAGACTCCACAACATCCCTGGGCAAGCTGTGCCAGTGCCTGGTCACTCTTACAGTAAGAAAGTGTTTCTTGATGTTTGGAAGGAACCTACTGTGTTTCAGTTTGTGGCTGTTGCCTCTTGTCCTGTCACTGGGCACCACTGAAAAGAGTCTGACTGTCTTTGTATCTTTCCCCCAAGTGTTTATACATACTGATAAGATCCTCCTGAGCCTTCTCTCCTCTGGACTAAACAGTCACAGCTATTTCAGTATTTCTTCATATAAAAGATGCTCCACCTTTAGCATCTCTGAGGCCCTTTGATGGACTCTCTCCAGTATGCCCGTATCTCTTTTGTACTGGGGATCCCAGAAGTGGACACAACACTCCAGGTGTGGCCTCACCAGTGTTGAGCCGAGGGGAAGGATCACCTCCCTCGACCTCCTGGCAACACTCCTCCTAATGCATTTCAGGATACCTATAGCTTTCTTTGCGGCAATGGCACATTGTTACCTCATATTGAACTCGACGTCCACTGAGACCACCAGGTCTTTTTCTGTCAAGCTGTTTTCCAGGTGGTGGCCCTTTAGCATGTGCTGGTGCCTGATGTTGTTCATCCTGAGGTGCAGGACTTTGAATGTCTTCTTGTTACCTTCATGAGGTTCCTGTCAGTCCATTTATCTAACCTACTGAGGTACCTCTAGATGGTGTCACAACGTTCTGGTATATCCGCCATCCCTCCCAGTTTGGTGTCATCAGCAAACGTGCTGAGGGTACATGCTGCCCCATGGTCTAGATTATTAATGAAAACATTAAATGGGACTGGATCCAGTATTGACCCCTGGGTTATCCCACTTATTACTGGCCTCCAACTGGGCCTCACACAACTGATCATTAGCCTCTGGACCTGGCTTTTTAGCAAGTTTTCAACCCACTTCTGCTCATCCAGCCCATACATCATCAACAACTTGTCTATGAGGATCTTATGGTAGATAGTATCAAAAGCCTCACTAGAGTCTAAAATACTTATTCTTGTGACTAAGACAACTTCTGACTAAGAAGCTACATCAGAGATGTATGAGAAAGAAGTTGGAGAGGCCTAAGAGGTGGCACAGAAGGGCTTGTTTGCTCAATTCCTGCTGGGAGCACAGCACTGGTTGTCTGTTCCAGGCAAAGGTGCATCCCCAGAAACTATTTCAGGTGTGGAAGAAGATCTTTCCAGCTTTGAAGACAATACTGACAACGGTTCGATTTGAAATGGAGAAGGACACTTTATTTTTCTGTGCTTTTATCTTTATCATTAATATGCACATTATTCTGTAGTAAACTAAATTAATTTTAGCTTCCAGACAGTGTATAACTACACATCATCACCTGAGAGCCCTCTATGCATCTGCACTGCAGTTCTGCACCAGCGAACAGCCTATGGATGTTGGCTGTGAGCCAAGGTGCTCTTGGGCTAAAAATCCCCACTGGATTCAGAAGTGCCAAACTTCCTATGTGGGACTAGAGACACAGGTCTTTCATCTGGGTGTTTCAGGAAAAGGAGATGACTAAGAAAAGCCCTAAGAACATGACGCTGTGCAGACCTCATGAGTCACCGAGGGGAAGGTGTTGTCGATGGAGGGAGAGAGATCCAGGTCTGAGACGGAAACTCCAGGGGGAGGGTGGAAGGTGAACCTCTGCAGGAGGCTGATGATTATGTTAAAATCAACGTGTGCTTATGTGTACATTAAGAGTCTCATCTCTCCTTATCCTTGATAAGTATCACCATACACTGTTTGATTTCCCCCTCATTTCCATTGCCTCACATGCTTAGCAAAACAAAGCGAGATGTTCTGCACTCCCCTCTCCACGGAAGAAGTTTCATTCTTCTTTGCAGTATGCAGATGTATGGGGAATGGAACAGCTCACTCACCTTTTCCTATTTCTTCAACGACTGGTATTTTAGGTGTCCCTGCAAATTCACCTGGTTCACCAGAGCTTCCTTCACACTGTGCCATATCCTGGTAGCACCACCATTGTCCTTAATCTCGTCTGAATGCCGAAGACTGGGCCATACTTTTTGGATAGCTAGTGGAATGAAAAGGGACAATAAAAGAAGATGATTTTCAGATTACTTCATCAAGCTCAGAACACTTGTTTTTCAACAAGTTTAATGTTCTCTTCCCTGCATGGCATTGGCTATTCATTCACTGTCCAAAATGTGGAGAATTTGTGATAGAAATTTTGAAGCTCTTATGAAGAAAAAGAATCACAATGGGGTCTGTAATTAGGTATTTTAGAGTATTTTAATATTTATATGATATATATAGAAATATATATCTATATTATGTTTATATTAGGTATTTTTAGACTTTTAGAGGGGCTAAAGCAAAGGCTAAAGAGCAGACAGGCTTAGTCCTGTGTTCCTTTGAAGATGCAAATGAAAAGTGAATTTCTCAGTAATTGTGCCAAAACCTGTTCAGTTCCTGGTATACAAATCTGGAGAGGTACAAATCAGCTAGAATCATGAGAAACAACTCTTAAATAGTCTGGAGTTATGCCTTTAGGTGCATCTGGAGTTACTGCTTTTAGTGACAAGGTGCAAGAGCTGCAGCTATAATACAGCCAGGCAGGAACAGACTGCATGGGTCATATGGGAACGAAATCCAGGAAAGCAGGTTAAGGTTAGCTTCATTTTGAGCTACAAGGTAACTGCGTCCACCACAAAGGCTCTGTAGGTAACTTTTAATTGACAAGCTGAGAACTCATAGAGGATATGTTGGAAATGTTCACCAACCCACAAAGAGAACGGTTTTCAAGCTGGTAATACACCAGGACACAGGAACTGTCTGAAACTCAGGTTTGCTGTTCATGGCCTTGAGGAGCAGTGCAGTGAGAGGACCCCAAAAGTCATATGCCATCTAACTATCACACACCATTTTCCCTGAAGTCCTGGAGTCTACTGCCACCAGATATGAAAGAATAAGCAGCGTTTGTTTGTTTCCTACTTTGCTTTGGGAAACCAGGAAAGTTCCTCCTTCATGGTGAGGATGAAAGGAGAGTGTTTTCTGCCAGTTCCCTGATGTCTGAGTCCACCAAACAGCCTCCAGAAAGTTCTGGTCTCCTCCCTAAATCTTTCCAGCAGCTCCTGGTGGAAGTTCTATAGGACCTGTAGGGCCCCTCTCTTCTAGTTACCCTTGTCTAGAGAACTCCAGCATTTCTTGTGTTCCACAGAAATAGGTCAATCTTCCTGATGTGGCTGGAGGTCAGTTCCCCTGCACTGACACAAGATCACATAATAGGAAGAGCAGTTGCTGCAGATAATTAATTATGCTGCATTTATGTCTACCTGTCCGGAGAAAAATGTATACCCCTTTTGGGGGGTTAGTGGCTGTCTTAGACAGAGGGGTCTAAGAAAAGGATCAACAGAAGGCTAGCATTGTCAGGTAAGGTGTCTTCAGATCCATAACGTGCAGATTTCCAGTGATGAGTAAAGGCCTGGGTCCTGGAGGGAATTCTCTTGCATGGCTCTTCTACACATGTCTTTTCAGAATCAGCAGGAGAATGAGTATAAACAGTAACCCTACAGGAGCAAGATTGACCCAATCTATGGTCTTTCAGCAAAGGCTTAGCTGAGAAGATGAAAATTCAGTCAAAGATTGCAATCTCCTGTCAGAAGTTAAGAGTTTCAAGCATTAACAGCACTTCTACACAGGCAGGGATATAAGCTTGATCTCTAAGAAATGGTAGAAATGCCTATCTGGGGATTTTACTCTTGCAGAATCCCTTCTAGGCACTCTCAAGACCATGTGCATTCCCTTTACCCTATGTTAGTTACTGTTTAATGGGTGATGTCTAAACTAGTCCTGTGAGTTGGTAAAGATTTCTGTGGGCATAAATCCAATTTAGAAAGAGCAACTCAAACACTGCATTGAACTTTGAGACTGGGAAGAAGTGGGAACAAGAAGGAAGAAGTTCCACTGGTTGCTCGGACATTCCCTTCTCTCTTTATGGAAGACGTTGCAGATGCCAAATCCTGATAAAAGCAGAAGCTCAGCTGACTAGGTATTTAAGACAGTAGTGGAGATTCCTTTTAGTAGTCTAAGCGTGGATTTATGGCCTTGATGTGTTGTGGGTCTTATAGTGGAAATCTGCATTGAACAGAAGTACTCAAAAGAAGGAGTCAATGCCAAGCTCCTCTGAGTTAGCTGAATAATTTATTGTGGTACACATGTTTTAGTTCTAGTAGGAGTTCAAACAGGGTGCAATGTAGGGTCAGACTGTTCTGGCCAAATGGTGAGGTCTGTGCTGATCTGATAGCTTCAGATTCCTTTAAAGTGAATAGAGGGCAAGGGGCACCTTCTCCTTCAAAACCAGCAACTAAAACCAGTCAGATAATCCATGCCTTATATGTTCCTGATTTTCACATAATGATTGAGGCTGGAAGGGAACTCTAGAGGTCATCTGATCCAATGCTACTGCTCAAGCAAGGCATCCTAGAGCCGGTTGTACAGTCAGGACTGTATCTTCAGCTGTGGCTATTGCCTTAGATACCCAGCTATAACCATTTCAGGAAGACAGAAGGAGAGAAGAGCTTGTATGATTATCTTTGAATGGGGAGCCAAAGCTGAGAGGAAAATTGAGAAAAGATGGCCTCTGTCGGTTGAGGAAAAAGGGCTGAGGTACAGTGTGTCTTGAAGGCTACGAGAGTGAACAGCAGAGGAGTTGTTAAAAAAAGAAGCCATGCAGGAGAAACCATCCAGGGCTTTCATTGACACTGATCAGAAAAGATGAATGCCAACCTTCAGAAGTGTCTGGAAGAGCTCTGTAGCAGAAGTGGAGAGAACTAAATTATACATGACCGTGAGGCAAGAACATGAAGGCTGTGTGAGGTGAGGTGCCCAGGCTGAGCGCCTTGTCCTTGACTCTTTAAAGCATCAGGATCCCTGCAGAGACATGACCAAAAGCATAGATGAGACATCCCCTCAGGGGATGGGGGTGCAGATACCTTGGAGAAAAAAACACTAACATTTGGCCAGGAGCCTGGAGCAGGAGCTAGAACAAGCCTGTTCTTGTACTGCCTTGCCCCGACTCTGCTGCTGCCCCTGCGGTCTCCGGAGGAAAGACATTTCACTTACCTGGAAAGTGTCCTGGAAAAAGTCCAGGGCCTATGTCCAGCTGTGTGTCAGTTGGCCTGTTCCTACTCCACCTCCCCAAAGGAGGTAAAAAGGCACTGAGAGTGTAATTCTTTCCACATATACCTGGGATTTAATTATTAACAAAGAATGAGTCAGATACTGACTCCTGAGATATGAAAGGAAGGAGCTGAGTTGTTTCCCAAGAGATGAGCCCAGGGTTGGGTACCTACAGCTACAAGACCCTCCGTGTTATTGAAAGGACACAGTGGGAACTAGGGGCACCTCCTGAAGTGCACTAGGAGAAGGAGGCAACCCCTCTCACCCCATTGCCCTTGCTTCCTCAGTCCTGCTGGTTTCCTCCAGCAGATCCTGCAGTCCTGGAAGGTAGTGAGTGAGCCGAGCAGGGTGAGATTGTCACAGACATGAGTGACACGCTATGAATGTTTCTTCCCTGCTTGCACACATTTCCACTTGGCCTTATTTTGAAGTGGAGATTCAAAATCTTGCTTTGGGACAATATTTGTGGCTCCTCCAAAGTCTGACAGACAATGTCTAGACACATGTCTTGAACCAGATGCGTTGTTTCTAAAGCATCTGTTACGTTTATGATAGTCAAATACTTCACTGGTCTATGGTGTTTTACACAATGCACGAGGAGAACTTGGCCAGGTCCTTTTAGGAACCGGGGAGAATTCTTGTGATGCTTAGTCATCTCAGTAAGCAAAACTCAATAGAGCAAGAGACCTTTTTTTTTTTTTTCACTGTCCCAGTTCTCCTCACCTAACATGAACCCAAGGAAAAAATACCCAAAATGGATGCAAACATAGGTGTCATTGGCCAAACTTGCTGGAAAATTGGGGAATCTAATTATATTAGCTATGTCACTCACAATGAAGTTAGCAATTTTTAATCTTTGAAGACAATGCTGTACACAGATTGATTCTAAAGTAGGAAAGTTGGTGTTTTTGTTTTTTTTTTTTTTTAAGAGTTCGGTGGATCTCATTCATAAACATATTATTCTGAAGTAAATTAGTTCCAAGTATAGGATTTCCTCTGGTACCCTTCAACATGTTTGCACAGTGGTTCTGAACCAGGTGTATTTGGAGTAATGTATAACGAACCAACATCTGTCGTGAAGGTCATGGAAAAGAAAGTTTTGTCTGGGTATCTGATCTGTGCAGGATCAGACTGACCTCTTTGCTTGATGAGAAGATGCATAGGTGTAGGGATACATATGTGGCAGCGGACTGTTAATATATTTTGTACTGAATGTATGTATTTTCAGTTTCTGAGTCAGAAATACATCTGACAAAATCTCTAGGAAGTTGGTATAGTGTAGATCTTATAAATTTTTGGGTGGATGGAAAACCCAGGGGAGGGGAAGAGGTCCAGGTCTGAAATAGAAACTCCTATGGGAGGGTGAAAGGTGAACTTCTGCAGGATGCTTGTGAAGAAAAAGAAGAGCTCTCTTTTGGTAGGAGCTTCACCATACATTCTTTGTTATCAGGTTGATCCCAGTGAGAGAGAGAAAACTGTATGTCCCCCAAAAATATCAAGCAAATACTACTGATAATCTGATCATTTCATTCATGCATTTAATCAGCAGTAGATTTGAATACAAATGTTAAAATAAACTTTGTAAGTAAATGTTCAGTAAATGGCTTTAAAATAAATTTGTCTTTCAGTTACAAAATACAAAGATATTGGTCTGAAAGAGGTAGTACTGAATATCTGTAACAGTCTTCGAAGTCATAATCAACCATTGGTGTTTTGGAAATGGGCTGAGTGTCAATATGCTTGATCTTCTGTTAGTTTAAATGAGAAATAATTGCTAACAAAGGGGAATAATAAAAATTTTTGTTTGTTTAAGTCCATTTATTTATTTATTTATTTAAGTCCAACTCCTTTGTTCAATTTCATTAAAATTTAATCTATCTGTATTTAATCTCTTAAAAAGAAAAAAAAAAAAAGAAAAAAAAAATAGAGATGCACTGCATTAGAAATATTAAATTTGAAGTTTTCACTTGGAAAACTGTGAATCCCAAGTGGGTTCTGTCAGTTTGACCCTTACAGAGCAATAGTCTTCTGATTAGGACTGGATGCAGAAAATACATTTTAAATGATGTTTGACCTAACCTCCAAAATGCTACTAATTTGAAAAATATGAACAGTCTCTTAAGGTTTCTTCTGAGAATGACAGAAACCTAAGAAAGAACTTTCATCATCCTGGTGGTGGAATCTAATTTCAAGTTGAAAGTTATACACACTTGCTGCCATTTAACTCATCTTTTTCAGCTATTTGTATGCGCAGTTTAATAAATGTCAATACTCAATGAGTTTCTACACACTTAAAAATAAAAAAGCGCACTTTTTAAAAGCTTTTTTTATGTAAAAACAAGGTGAGAACAAAGATAAAACAGAAAGAGTGTTCAATGGTTATTGGAGAGGATAAAACATTGGCAGTCTTTGATGAGAAAGAAAAGAAATGCCAGTCATTGTGGATCTCAAATTTAAAGCAGCTGTAATTTAACTTTATTTTTCAGTCCCATCCTCAAAGCTCATCCTCCACCCTGTGTCTAGTTTAACTCCTTGCTTTCCTTTACTGCCGCTGTTCCTCATCGACAAGCAAAAAGGTTCTCAGCAAAACATTTTAAGTTTCTGTCAGGTTGAACACCACTCCATAGTGTCCAGTAACGTACTACACAGAAGTTGTAACTATATACAAAAGGAGCTCTACTGGCTCAGCATCTTCAAAGCTTCACTTGGGAAACAACCAACTAAAGGAAATGCCCCCAGACAGAGAACCAAATGCCACTGATATGTGAGGTATGGAGATGAGTGATTAGGGTAAAGAACCTTAGCAGAAAGAAATCATACACTTCAAGGGCACAGTTACATTGAAAATAAAGTAATGTTTAAAGCTCGGATTAAACAAATGTTATTTAGAAAGCCAACAACTGCTGTATTTAATTTCCTGATGATACCATCACAGACATCATTGTGCACTCTGTTGCACAGAGAGAGTCTATTTGGGGTGAAAAGCAGCCTGAAACATGCTGGAAAAAGTCTGAAACGTGCTGGGCAAATTCAGTGTCCAATCTGTTCATACAGGGGGATCAAGCTGTAAGGCCTGGATTCACTTGAGCTGAGGCACTTGTCTAAGGGTTCTGACCAAAGCGAATGAATGGATTTTGAGTTGTGCGTGATCAGCAGCTCTTCACCATAGCAGGGTAGAGGCCACAGGAGGAAATCAAACACTCATGGATGATCAAAACACGAAATCTGTTTTATTGTCTTGTTTTGGGCTACAGTGATCTATCTCAGGACTGCTTGACAGATATCCCAGCAGCCGTCTTTACAGTTTTTTTTCTTTGTGTGCCTCATTGTCCCTTTTCCTGTTTCTTTGCCTTCTCCATCTTTACCCACTCCCTAATTCTGGTCTCTGATTTGATACATCTGTACCTGAGGTTGGTATTTCAGCTGTACTTACAGGGGAACTGCTGGCCTTTCACAGTTATGCTCCTCAGGAGGTTTCCAATTCTCTCTCCCCTATAATTATCTGTGCCATTAGCCCATTTCTCATAGAATCCACTTTTAACTTTCTGTAATTCTTGTCAGAGTGTTATATTCAGAGATGCATTTGTAATCCCTCTTCTATTTGTTAAAGTCATATACTCCTCACGTGATTTCAGACATCTAAAATATAGTTTCCCGGGCTAAGCTAGAATCACAGAATCATAGAATGGTTTGTGTTGGAAGGAACCTTTAAAAGTCATCTAGTCCAACCCCCCTGCAATGAGCAGGGACATCTTCACCTACAGCAGGTTGCTCAGAGCCCCGTACAACCTGGCCTTGAATGTTTCCAGGGATGGGGCATCCACCTCCTCTCTGGGCAACTTGTTCCAGTGTTTCACCACACCCATCATAAAAATTTTCTTCCTAATATCTAGTCTGAATCTACCCTCTTTAAAACATTTTACCTTTTGTACTATCTCTACAGGCACTTTGAGCTATTGCTACAGGCCCTACTTCTAGAGTCCTTTGTCAAAAAGAAAACAAATAAATTCCTGAAAATGATAGCTAGGTTAGGCAGAATAAATATCCATGCAAAGGGGTTCATCTCCTTGCCTCTCTTTTTTTGAGAGAACCTGAAGGACTGATTTCTCTGGAACAGTAATCTTCCAAAGAAAGGCAGAAGAATGAGTACTTAGTGGATGAGGGTCTAGGTTACTACGGAAAGATTATAAGGAGAACTGGTGAACAAAACTTAGTAGTTTATTTTCCCCCCTTTTGTTTTAAAGAACTAAAGATAACTACTGAGGGCATCATTCTGAAAGACTCACAGTGAGTGCTACTTTCTGACTCAGATGTTCCTTTGCGGTCAACACAGTCAGTGAAGTTATCTCGCAGCTGTAGGTGAATGAAAGACCCTCTGAATTCCCAAGGAGGATTTTGAAGGCTAAGCTCCGTGTATTGAGGATAAGACTTGTACAGTCTGTCTACATATGGAATCTTTTTCAAGTACTTCAGTACTTTGTGTTTATATATTATGCACAAAATACTTCTAAAATGTTTACATATGCAATATTTATATTGTTAAACGCCTTCTTAGTTTTTACAAAAATGATTGTGTGAAGAATAAAAAATGTCTTCTAGCCAACAAGGTGGAAAAGTCATTCATTGCACGTCTCCAAAAGAGCATATCTGAACTAAAGTGTGCTACAACAAATGTATCATTCATAGGTAGAAATCTGACACATAAAGCAGTATAGAGTTGATATAACATATGGGACAGCCTTGCCTAGTATCTTTCTGAAGTTTTTCAAGGAAAAATACATCAGCAGAACTGAAATTATCGGTGCTATTTTATATGGGAATTTTCCCCTTAAACCTGATAATTACGACTCGAAAAAAGATGCTAAGTTAAAGAAGTCTTGAAAGTTTATCCACTGTAGCTTGCCCTTCTGACACGAGTGGTAGCTTTCTGCATCTGATTAACACCTAGAGGCATCTTTCTGTTCGATTTTCATCTCCCATCCATTGCCTCTCGATGGATTGCCCCATGTAGGTAGGTACAGATGTGTGACTGCTCCCAGCTACTGTCATCTCGTAGGGTTCCTTCAGATACCTCATTTTTGGTGTCTGTTTCTGTCATCACTTCTCAGGTGGAGTTATTTTACCTTAATTTAGCTTCAGTATTTTTCTTTCTGCTTTCTGTTGGTTTAGGAAGCAGTGACTTCAAAGGTAGTGACTCACCACATGGAAGTTCTCCACTGGGTCTTCTGTAGCCTGAACACAGCTGCTCTCTGACCAGTTCCTAACAACTCACACTTTTCCTTGGAGCTAACATTGAGTTCAGTTTATATCTATTGACATTAACAGTGCTACTAACCACTTATTACTGTTGGACATAAGAAGACATCTTATGTAATTACCTGTTTGTCATAGTTCCTACTCAATTCCCTTATTGTGTCCTTGAAACAATCAACAGTGTAAAAAATCTATGCCAATAATTATTTTTTTTCACTATTATTTCACTTTACTCTCCCTTTCAATAAACCTATTAACAAAGAATCTTGATACTCATATTACCACTTAGTATGTATACCTCATCAATCACTATATTCTGTGCTTTGCCATGGAAATGATTTCAACATTTTCTTTCCTGTCATAACCAATCTTCAAAATACAGCACATTTTCTCCCCCATCCAAAACTAGGAGAACACATTTTCTTAAAAAGTTAATCTGGGATGCTCTGGTGAAAAGCTTGTTAGAATCCAAATAAACAGTATCACTCTATTTCTTCTTGATTACCCCTATGCAGTTGAAGAGTGTGATGGTAACTCAGAAATCTTACAGTCAGGTATGGTATCTTGTAATAGGCTTGAAACACAAAGGTTGTTTCAATGGATATATTGACACAGTGATGACAAAAGGTAAAATACAGGTAATTTTGTAGATCAGTTTGTGGTAGGTTTTTATGACGAACAAATATATTAGAAGGATCTGAATAATTCACCTGAGCTTGGCATAATGACTATGTATTCTAAAATCAAGCTTGTTTTATATTACAAAAATATATCTATCTACATTTCTTTCTTGAAAACCCAGTGTGGCTAAGACAATATCTTAATGTTGGGTTTTTTTGCATTATAAACTGAAAAGAGCATTATTAGGACAAATATTACAATTATTTTTCTACATAGTGGCATCAGATCTGCTGTGTTCCTCATATTTGTTGGAGTGAATTTCATGTGGATTCTCCTTTTCTGGAACCTGCCATAAAAATCAGAGAAGAGTTCAGCTGATGAGATATAGACTTCCTTTGCCATTAATGGAGACTAAAGTACATTGAGAACGTCATTCTGTTTGTATATATTGTGTGTCTACTTACTAACATTGACCCAGCCTGACATAAACCACCAATTATGAATTCTGAGGGATGAATTCAGGGTTTTCTGAATAACTGGAAGGATTCAGATGAACTGCAATATAGAGCCATCTCTTCACTGAGCATAAAGGGAGCTTAGCAGGGCTATGTCAGATGTACTTGTTTCTCAGACCCACTGATTTTGTCTTCATCCATAAAACAATAGTCCCAGAAGCCCATCTTCTTCTGATAACCTCAGTGGTCAGATCATTCAACCAGGGAGCAAAAGAGCTTCTGCTCACCCTAGGGAGACTCAACCCACAAATCCTGAAGAAGTGCTCTAAATTTAATTCAGTATGAAATTCTAGATGACACTGGGAAAGCACCATTTTGCTAAAAATGCAAATATCATGTGTATCAACTACAAGAAGGAAGAGGATGCCTGCACAGCAAGCACTTAAAAGAGATAAAGAGTCACCACCAAGGTCTCAATTTGTTGGCTGTATTTCTGCTTTTTGTTCACGGTTCAGTGTAAATGCATGACTAGCTAGAAAGTCCAGAAAAGATCCTGAAGGTGGCTTTGATAAATTCACAGCCTGAGCAAAGCCACATTTCTGAAAGCTGTCTCGTGTGCAAACGACAAACCCCAGGAGAGCAGGACTGCAGTGTGCTGTACATCTTGCAATACAATATAAATAAAGGGAGGTGTTATCTTACCTCCCAATAAACAGAATCGTCAAAGCAATTCTGGTCAGATACTTGTCCCAAGAAGGGCAGCTTTAGAATACCACCTAGAGAAAAAAACAGCATCAGAGGTTAAAAAATGGACAAAATGCCCAAATAAGTGTCCCTCAGATGTGCTCTAGGGAGTCACCTAAGTTTTCTGACTCGTTTTCCTAGTCTACAGAAACGCGCAACCATCTTGGGACATCAGGTCACTTACAAGAGGTGATGCATGTTTCTTCATGTTGACATGAATGATCTTGGTTTTAGTTGCTCAGGTTTTTCCTAGATTTCAGCCTGGATTTTTCTATTTCAGCCTGAATTTTTGTTTGGGAAGTATCCACAGTCACATGGAAAATTGTGATACCTAAATGAATATGTCTTAATTTCAAACTAGCTTCTGTTCAGAATTTTTAGTGTCTCAATCTAGAGGACATAATCCAGAACAACATCTTACTATTTCTATATACACAACCCAGTATCTTTGAAGCATTCATTTAAGAAGATATATAGTTTTCATTTGAAGACAAAATTATTGGAAAACTGTTTTTCCACATATAAGTTTCTTCCAGTGTGTCATCATGCATTATTTCCATTTTTCATTTTGTATTATTCACATGAAATTGTTGATGCTTTGAAGTTCTCCATGGGTAAACCTCTAAATTCAGATATATTTCAGTTGCTGTATGCACCATACTGACCTGTCAACGCTCCACCCACCAGTGCAATACCGATTGTACTGCCCAGGGCAGCAGCCTGCATGCCAGGAGTAAAGAGGACACCTTTCCTGAAAAAGACAACAAACCATTGGCAAACAAAAAACCCGTCATACTTTGAGACTGCTGACTGGTCTTACAACATTGTACTTGCCATCTGTTGGACAAGATGCCTCACAGGAAGATGTCCTGCCATTGCTGTGTATGACAGAAATCATGATTTGGTTTTGGTTTTGGTTTAGACTACAGATGAAAACAAGTCCTTTGAAAAGTTTATTAGTATCTTGTAAGCCTTTAAAGAATGCTCTGTTTTGTCAAAAAGATCAACGTTTCATCTTCTTGGCGTCTTTAAGATATTAGAAATAGCCCATTTTGCCAATTTTCTTGGAAATCTTATGGTTACCAGCAGTGTAAATTGTAGAATCTTAATAAAGATTCTTAATTGTTTGAATGGTTCTGCGTGCTGGTTTTCTATGATGTTTTAAATTTGTTTATTTTTACTTGAGCTCTTAATTTGCAACAAGCCTGGCATATAAACAGTGTGTTAAAGGCAGAATAACAAGAAGGCTCATATTTAAACCAGAGCATGATGTCTGACATCAAATCAAAGATGCGTTTTCTGAAAAAAACACCCCATAATTTCATCCAAGGAAGGCAGAAAATTAGGGTAGACTTTCAAAAAGCAATAAATGCCTTTCTCTCTCCTCTTTATAACTCACCTATTTTCCTGTTTTATTGCAGTTACTACGATGCCAGCGATACCTCCCAGTATTCCAGGTAAACCATGTAAATTATGAACTCCACAAGTGTCTTGAATGTTCAGCTTGGATGCCAGAAAAGGCTAAAACGAGGGGAAATACAAAGTTTTATTGACTTTATAATCTTCCATCACCTCTAGAATGAAACGCAAAAGAAAATATTGCAGAAATTCAAGAAAGTCTAACTTATTTCATGTTTGCAAAGTTTAGCTGTAAAAGCTGCTATCTTTCCCTTCACGGTGAAATTGGTTATATGCAGAGAAAACCAAGTGTATACATATAATGGTACAAATGTCCAAGCTGCCATTGTATGGATTATGGTACAAAACAGCCCACTAATATTCCTAATCATTTCAGGCACTGCAGCAAGTGTTGAAAGAGGTGGCTAAGTAACACATACACGCCTGTTCTGTGTCTGCTAGTCAAGTATTTTCTTTCAGAAAGTTTCTCCATCGATCAGAAAAATGACAGTTTAAACAGCTTTAGTCAGAATATTTTGTTACTACATTTGGGATATGAAGCAATTCTATTTTATAATTCAAAAATAATTTTTGATTATAGATTGACTTAGAAATTTTTAAAGATGGCGATGTAATTAGTGTTATTTCACAGAAACATGGGCTTGAAGCAAAATTCTGGCAGGTCTTTGAACAGAAATCCCAACTTTAATGAACTCTTAGTTTTGTGATCCTTCTCTATTTTTAGCTAGGTGATGGCCTGAAGTTAGTGCATAAGCATATATCTGAATCAAATTGATTTAAAAATAACCGTTATCTAGAGCTTACTCTTTTATACCGTATCAGCTAGTTTCTAAACTCCCTTTCTAGCAAACAAAAAGAGCTCCAGTAAAGTCAATGAAGCAATAAATAAATGAGAGCAGAGGTGAGGCTCCAACACTCACAGTCAGAAAGTGGAACCCAAGCACAGAGATGATTCCAGCAATGCCCCCGATGCACATGGCAGCAAAAGGGTGGATGGACAGGTCAGCACAGGTACCCACTGCTACTCCTCCTGCCAGGGTGGCATTTTGAATGAGAACCTGCAAAGAGTACACAGAGGTGGAGAAGATATATGTGGAACAGAGACTTGTTTTAGGGCTGAGTGACTTTGGAAGGCTTCTTTGCATACAGAATTTTTTCTTTTCTTCAGGTGGGATTTTTCCAGTGAAAAATGAATAGAAATTTAAAACAGGGTTCTCTGTTACATGTTCAGGCTGTTGGTTCAAAGCTGGTCTAAGCCAGTTTGACTGAGGCCAGTTTAATGGAGTCCAACTTTTGCAAAGTTACTGAACTCATCTGACCCTTGAGAAGCCAGGCTGAGCCAGGGAGGACTGTCTCCTACAACTGCAGTAGATTCTGCAAGATCATTGATCTGTGCCAGCTCACGCAGGGCTTAGATAAACACTGCGACTGCTGGAAAGAGGTGGGTGAAAACAGGGCTGGGTTTTAGGCCAAGTAGATGAAGGGTTGACAGTCTGGCAGTCAACCCAGTTTGGCTTTGCCTGTTGTGCAGCTGCACTGTAAGATTACCAAGGAAGAGGTCATTGCCTTGAGAGAACTATTTTGGCTTTTGCAATACATTAACTGACGTAGGATCTTCTTTGAGAAGATCCGCATAAGACCCAAAAGCCCACCTGAATGTTGGACTAATGTCTCTCTAGTCCAGCAGGTTCTGTGGACAAGAGAGAACAAGGGAGCAGGACCACCTCTATAATGTCCAAGAGCTTTTCACTCTCCAGATGCAATGACCCCACTGAGGAACCACCACATATCTAAAGCAGGGTGGCTTCCCTCAGGGCCTAATCTTACATTATAGTTCTTAGAAGTATAATAGCTCTATTTTTGTCCACAATATGAGCAAAGGCTCCAGATAGCTCATGGGTATTGGGAATCTGCCCAATCATCCTTATTATAGGGAGGTTATTTGATTTAACAGAGGTTACAATGTGATTCTTACCATACTGAATTTGCCTCTTTGATCCACCAGGCTGGAGAGGGCAAATGTTACGACAGTACATGCAGCCAAGGAATAGTAAGTGTTGACAATCGCTTTAATCTGGTAAAATGGTTCAGATGCAATGGCAGAGTTAAAACTGGGCCAAAAAAGCCAAAGGAACAGGGTACCTGGATGAATATAAGTCAAAACAAAACAAAGGCTATTCAGTCACAAGGGATATTTCAACCTGAAAGATCCAACACAACAGAACGAGCTACAAGAAATGAAGATGATGATCAATAAGAAAGATGAAACAGCTAAAATGCTGGAAGAAATAATAGATTATGCAGAAGCTTTTGACACTGGCATGTGGGATTTTGACATATGGTCTCTGTCAAATCTTACTGGAAGACTTTAACACGTTTGGATTCCTTGTCATGCCCCACTCCCTGTCAGAGCTCCCCCCCATGTGAAAACCATACCGGAATACGAGACATTAGCAAGACAGTTCACATGCAAATCCTTTATCAACTGTTGATAGAACTGATAGTTTTAGCTGGTAAATTGATCTATGAATAGATCTCATGGATAGATGTATTGTTTCTAGCATTCATTAGCAGGAGAGACACAGCTCAGTACTTTTAATTATGGCCAATTTCTATGGAAATGATGCTCATAACAGAAAGATTAACAAATAGGGAGTCACCACTAATGCACAGTGAAAATGCATCTTTAATTTGATCTTTCTTTCTTTTTTTTTTTTTTTAACCAAGTAAAGACTGTAAAAGTATGTGTGTCACTGAAAGCATCCATGAATCAGACAAAAAACCCCATGCTTCTAGGAGTGTGCTTAAGAAAATGGATGCAGCGTAATAATGGTAATCATTAAAACAGAGGGGTGAAAGAAGGATGAACAACTGATTAGAACCATAATTATTTAACTTACCAATCATAGCAAACATGTCCGAATCATAGGTAGATTCTTCATTTTCATGTTTGTTTTTCAAACCAGGACGATACAAGACTAGTGTCACAGCCAGACCAAAGTAAGCTCCAAAAGCATGGATAGTCATTGAGGCTCCGACATCTGTGGCCTGTTATAGGGACCCGAAACAACGCCACAGATTTTATAGGCATAAAGATGAGGATTTGATGAAGGAGAAGTCTGGATGACTTTAATGGCTTATTTTCTATGGTAAAAACTAGAATCAAGAATATGTAAACTGAAAATATTACAAAGTGAAAACATTTGTTATAAGCAGAAAACACTTATTGCTAAGCAATACCTGAAGTATTTCTGTAACTAGATGTTCGTTACATGCAAAGATTGTGACCTCCAGAATTGTCATGATCAGCATCTGAGCAGGACTTGTTTTCCCCAGGACTGCTCCAAATGAAATCAAAGCAGTTGCTGTACTGAAGTCTGCATTTATTATGCTGGAGTCAAGAAAACAAATAAAACCAGAACAAAGCAAAACAAAAACACAGGGAAAAAAAAGAAAATCAGTTTAAAGAGATCTGAAATAAGGCTGTAATATCAAACCTGTCATATTATTAAAATGATGGAGCTTTAACTCTTCAGTTATCAATTATCAAGATAATCTTTGTGGATGAAAATTAAATCAGACCTTTCCAGATGGGTTTTCTAAAGATCTTGCCAGCTACTGAGGAAAAAGGGTGGGAAGACTGCCTCCTGCTTATATCATATATGTGCTTAGCTGGTTGAAATTATGGTGAAAAGTCAGATGAGATGTGTATTGCAGATGCGCAGGGATATTTCCACCTCTTGACTGTCATTTGAACTCCGAAGATGACCAGGAACCCTTAGATTTGGTCAGGTGGTTCATCTCATTTCAAAAGCCTTGCATGCCTTTCTAACACTGCATCACGTTTGCACTAGTTGTCAGGAAGGACCAGTGCTAACTGGTTATGGGGATTGGCAAAGATCAATAAAAACAAAAATTGGTCAAAAATTTGCAGCACAGAGGGGCACTAACTTATGGGTCTCCCTCTATAATTTCCTGTCTGTAAGCATTAAAGAGCTACTTATATTATTTCTGCTTGTTCCTCAGTAATGCGTGGATGCTGTTCCTTTCAAAATTGTCTACAAGTTGTCTCAGAAAATAGAATTGGAGATGTAGAAAACACTCTGAGACTTTGGTAGAAGAAGGACGGTTGAATGGGACAGGGATTAAAAATAACCGGAGACGTTGTTTATGGGGTACAAAACCTACTGTGCTATGGTTCTCATGCAAATCATTCCTTGAGAAGTAGGAGAAAACCCCGTGAACGGAGGGACACACTGAGACAGCCTTTCTCCTGTGACCCTATGTGTCATGGAAGGACAGATCCTTTCATGCCTGTTGGATGCAGAAGGTGCTGAGTTACTGCTGGAAATCCTCCAGCTTCCGCAGCTCCAGAGATTCTAAGCAGTCTCTCGATATGATCTATGGCCCACGTGTGACATAGCACCTCAAATTCCATCCTGCCCTTCGGTTTCCTTGGCACAGAGCACCAGGTGTTGCCCCTTTGGAAGTGAAGGGCAGATGGGTGTTGGGAGGTGGACAGGAAGGTTCAGAGTTTCAGTGAGTTTAGAAGTGTGACACCAGAGATGTAGTTTATGGCTTCTCCTGATGTCTTCAGGAATAGAAATGTCAGTTTTGGTAAATTCACATGTACCTTTTAATATTAACGTGAATTTTCTCTCCTTTCGAGTGCCAAAATCCTTGCATCAGGGTTCCCCACTGGAGACCAAAGGCAGCAATGAGCATGTTGATACCAACACTGCTGAATCCGTATTTCTTCAGAAAGGTCATCAGAAAGCCAAATCCAACAAATATCATTACATGGACATCCTGAAAGACTGAAGGGAAAACATGTCTGTGTAGTGACTATGAAGGATGGAAAACTGGGGAAAAAATGAGGATTTAATAGAGAAGAGTTCCAAACTAATGTCATCAATGTGATCCATCCTTCCCTACGTCATGACCAGTCCACTTGTTGAAGACTGAGGCTCTGGAAAATGCAACACCCAATTATTGATTTTATTCCTTGCTATATTGTTATGGAAAGAACCCTAGATCTCTATACTGGCAGATTTAATGTGTCTGGAACTGTTCTTCACATGTGAAGCTACCTGGAACATCACAGTTTTATGTCCTTACTGAAAAGTTCTCTCCCCCCTCAAATAAAGATCGTCACATCCACTGTGTTCTAGCTAACTCCAAAACTGTACGTGGGATTTGTCTGGTAGAGTGCTAGTTGGCCCAGCGCAAAGGTATGGTTGTGATCCTTAAAAATGACTGTACAAGAGATTGATTTCTTTACCTGTGTTGAATAACAAGGTATTAAACTAGTAAATTAATATCACTAATCAGCATATACTTAGCCCTCCTTCAAATATGTTTTTTAAAAATATTATTTTGTTAAAATATGGCTAATACTTTTTATGCGCTTTTTTTTGTTTTTAATTTCCTTTTTTAGGCTTTTTAATTCAAATTGAGTTTATCATCAGAACATAGATATTTTACACTTTATTTTGTTACGCTGATGCGATTGAGTGATTTAATGGAGTCTATGCCAAACAGCTTGAGTCCTGTAATTAAAGATTTTTATCTGATTTTTTTTGGTAAGAATCAGTCTAGAGAAATTATTTCTTTCCATTTCTATTTCAATGCCTCTTACACGTGAATATGTGGGGAAAACTTTGACCTGATTAATATAATTATTATGAAGTTACATTTCCCAGTTATATATTTTCAACATTCCTTATTTTTGCTATATGCATTACCATGTTTTGCCAAAAGAGGGCCCAGAAGTACAATAAGTTACTGGAGGTTCCTAATAAACTCAGTTACATTTGCACTGTCATATTGCAGGCCTGACCTAGCACTGAAACACATGCATTCATGCAGTAAGGTCATTTGGGCTGCACGCATCAGAGAAAGCGGTTTGTAGACATCCCCAACTCTTTTACTTCCTCTTTAGGCTGGACTTTTTCTCACTTATTTCCTGAGTGATAGGATTTTTGAGGCCCCTGCAGTCCTTTGGAAGTTTCCCGTTTTCATCCATGTTACTTAATTTCCAGAACTACTATCTGAACTCTTGTGTTGTGCTTACTGCTTACTTTAAAAGATACACCAGTTAACAAAACTTCCCCATTTGGACTTCTGCTTTTGATATACTTGCATATTTTGTATTGCAATGCTGCGTAAAAATAAGTCTTGCTTAGACAGAGGTCAACGTATTCCCTTTCTTCAGAGGACCTGGCAAGATGGAGAAGATCTGGGTGGGGACCATGCAAATCATGCTAATAGGATGTTCCTGAGCCTACCAGCAGCAAAGTCTTTAGCATCTTTGTGGATGCAGAACACAAAACACAGCTTAGTTTGTTCATATTCCTATGTCAGAGGGAGTCAACAGGGGGTGTTTAGGCAAAGGATATTAAAACACAAGGTGATTTGATGGGTACATCTGTCTGTGCAGTCCCCCAGCTTGCAGCAGCCTGTGCCTCAGGAACACAAAGCTGTATCTTCACACCTAACCCGACCGGTGGTGGACTGCATAGCTAGAGCAACTCTCCTTCAAATGTCTTGGAAATCATGTAGCAGTGGTTAGTGCCGGTAGGACTGAGAGTGGATAGCCTTCCCAGCGTTCCTCTAACACCAACCTGATGGTTTTTTTTTTTTTTTTTTTTTTTTTTTTTTTTTTTTGACTGGGACAAAAATATGCTGGCAGGTCACATGAGAAGGCTCTTTTCAAATAAGGGAAGGAGTAACCCAAGATCTCTTTCTCTCTTTTTGGAGGATAAGTGGAAACTGGATGCTGAACAAGCCTTTTTATTCCCTTTAAAAAATAATTTTCTAGGAGTGATCATTCACCCAGTAAACTGTGGGACCAGCACCTGTACATGTGAGAAGTGGCCCATGTTATTTGTCTAGCTCTTATAAAACTATTTTATAAAAAGCTTGTTGATGTTATAAAAAAAAACCCCAAAAAACAACACCGAAAACCAAACCAGAGCTAGAGGGCAAATCCATAAAAGCTGCACAGCAGCATCTACAAACGTAACTGTTGTTTTACAAGATGAAAAGGGAAACTTATTCAATAAATATATTTAATAAACACTTAGCATGACAAGTCAAAGTGATGTATGACTTCAACAATTTTCAGTTTATATCTCACTTGAGTTTCATGCACAAAATGAAGGGTACATTTGAAAATTACCTACGTCTCCTCTTTTTATTATTTAATTAGCCTATATCATGGACTTTGCAATAAAGATTTAGTTTTGCCCATTTGGGGTAGTCAGCTCCAGGGAAGAAATTTTTTCCGGTCTCCCAGAGGAAATTATGTTTTTTTAGCATTGAGTGTACTACTTGCTCTTATTTGCAATCTTCTGGTTAAATCATTGCAGACAAAGCAAGTAAATCGATCTCATCAAAACAGTCCCATTCATGTATAGAACAACTCAATAAATCATGTCTAGATTAGTAGAAGGTGCTTTATTGCTTAAGTAACCTCACTACATGTGAGCAAAAGAACAGGGTTAAAAAGCACTTTAATGACTTTAATTCTCAGTGTCCACCAATAAGACTTCTGCATGCTCACGTCCCTTCTGAAAGTCGCTTTTAGAAATCTTACCCCCGCCCCAAAGACTAGAAGCAATTCTGTTTGAAACAAGCAGCTGGTTGACATTTAATCCTGGCTCATCCTGAGGGCTATCCAGGATTCATATAAATGTTTTAAAGCTGTCTGGATTTATTTACACAAGAGATTAAAAGTCCTGGTTAAATCTAGGTTAATTCATGGATGTTGAGGACAAACTTCAACAAGTCTAGCTTATGACTTGTGCTTTAACTACTTTTTACACATCCTTTTAAAGAAAAGTAGCTCTGGAATGGTTTCAAATGATGGAGAAAGCAGCATGATTTAAAAGAGACTATTTCAGTAACTTACTGCGTTTAACAAAACATAGTACTTCTATTCTGTGAGACAGGAACATAAAGATCAGGAAAAATATTCTAGCATATCCTGAACAAAACCACTGCTTGTGATTCTGTAAGGCTGCCCAGGACCAACATATTAATTCCACTACAAGATCTCCACATGGTGGCCAGTCTCAGCACAAAGATGCTTGTGTCATCTAGGTTTGTACTAAAACAGTGATTTTGCTTTGGCTAAAGGACTAACCCATAGAACAAGAGGGGAACAGAAGCTTTCCTAAACCACGAGTTATGGATCAATCACAGGACATTACATACAGGATACCAGTACTAAAGAAATCCTCGAGGACTGCTTGACAAGCCATCACGTGCCCTTGACCCCCCATTCTAGTGACATGGCACACCTGAAGTTGTCCATCTGTACATGCCTGTACTTGCATCCACTAGAAATAAATATAATGCAAAACAGTGCTTTGGGAATAATCTCAGCTCAGCACTCCTGAGTGCAAACCTATGGTGATCCTCAATTATTATTTTCATCTTTCCTCAGTCCAAAAATACCGAAAGGGGTTGGATTCGTGGTGCCGAGGTGTTTAAGGCATATAAAATCAGCCCTTGCACTGAAGTTCTGAGAATATAAATTGGTCCCGGGATGAAAAAAACTAAATCTATGAGGTACAGATGGGTTAACACCCCTGGGATAGCATGGGAAGCAGTTTGAACCCATCATCTTGTGAACTCTGAGGAAATTCTGGCTCAGGATATGTCCTAACATACGTATCCAACCACAGTATTAACTTTCTGCCAGGTCCTCAGGCAGACTGTGCTCTTGTGTGCACTTCGTAGGCAGGGAAGTTTGAAAGGAAGAGGGCCTAAAAGTGAATGAACAGGTATGAGGAAATCCTGCCTTTATTCCACTTCTGTATTGTGAATGAGATCCATCAACTCTTAGGTCAGCATCTAAAAGTCCAACATTACGCCGGCAATGTTTACTTAGTTTATGTCTCTACTGGTAAACTGAACAGCCTGGCCAAAAGGCAAATGGCACAGGCTGACTCACATTGGCAAGAGCTACATGCTCTTCTCTCCCAAAATGCTGTTCCCACCTGTACTGCTTATTGAGAGTAGGCCCTTACCTATGCTGTGCCTAAAGCCATACCTAGGAGGAGGTCAAGGTGCTGGTTTGCATGAGCCAAAACCAAGCCAGAAGCTTGCTAGCTGTTCAATAGTGTGGACAGCTAGGGGACAGTGTGCAGGTATAGCATAGTCATACACTGCCTGTGCAGGAAGGCATGGGAGACAGCAGGCAACATCTCTCACATATTTTAGACACTGATATTAGTGAAGAAATAACTACAGGTGACCCCCAACCAGACAGATTACATTTAAAGACCTATATTGTATTGTTGGCGTCTAGTGAGACGAATCCTTTTCTTTGTGATGTTGATGAGGCTCCTGCCCTCTCTCTGATGCCCTTTTAAAATGGAGATATTAAATTTAAAGAACCAGGGCTCCACACAGAGCTGGAAGAGGGTTTTGTTAAGTGCAAGAACAGCCTATGCCAGGAGCTCCCCAGAGAACACAGTACCCATGGTCATGCATGTGGCACAGGCAATCTCCATCCAGAAGACTTGAGATTTACTATGAAATGCATCACTGTACTTACTTTAAGGGGCCACTGAAGACTATTCAATTACTGACATAAGCACGAGGATCCCATGAACCTTTCTTTATTTTCCTTGATAAGGGAACTCCAAGAAAATGCAGGTTACTTTAGAACCAGAGACAGCAGGTATGATATTCAAACTGGACAAGGTAATTACCTCTGTTCTTGCAGGGCAAACATTGCTTAATCTGAGTCTGAAGGACCCATGTCCTAGACAGCACCCTTCTGGCTTATACAAAGATGCCCAAAACACTATTGTTCTGTGTCTGTGTCTGTTGTTTTGGCGTAGAGTCAGAGAAGAGGTAGATGGAGAGGTGTTTTAGGCAAAAGCTATGTTAATAAAATAATGTAGTGACAGGGTATAATATCTGTGCTACCAAATTATTAGTGTGGTCCCTCACAATGTTTTTGCCTAGGCCAACTATCACCTCCTGGGTAACAGTGGACCGAGAGTCATTCCCAATATACCATCTAGATAAGGCCACCTCATTTAGGAACTGGGATAGCTCAACATCATGCACATGGCCAAATTGTGTCTTAGAAAGAGAACAGGCTCCGGCATAGTCTAAGTTACTATCTCTTGGGGATACTGCTGCAACTTGGTGGAGTTAACCCAAATGTCAGTAATTAGCCCCTGCTGTTCATCAGCTGACTGTGGCAGGTGCACCCACACTGACTTACATCTGGAGCTGAGTAATGCCATGCATTCACCCTTCTCTCAACCGCGTGATGCTCTGTCTGAGAATACACAACGAAAGGCTGTGAGGGAGTGAAGTGACCCCGAGACCATATTCCCCTGTAACAGTCACTGAAAGGCCAGTTGGAATGAGAAAAAAGAAGGATACATTCAAAATTACATGGGTACTACATACAGGAAAGGAGTTCTGTGCTGTTATTATCATTATTAAGAGGACTGCGGTCAGGACTACAGGTCATTAAGACATCAGAGCCAAGAAAATGAACAACAAACCCTCAATACCGCCAACAAGACATAGGCTGCTCCTCCGCAGACTTATTTTTCTATTTACTTACAATAGTCTGATCTTTCCAGGAGGAGGAGGAAGAGGGAGGGAGAAGTCAGAAACTCAGGTCAAAAGCTTTCTCCCTGAACTTCATCAAGCATTTACAGAACAACATATCAACAGAAACGTTTGCAGGCTGAACTGTAACTGTCTACAGCTAAGCCACTGCTCTGAAAGATAGGAGGGGGTTATCCACCTTGTGACAAAGACTATTGCCCTTCGTGGAGTCCAATTTCTGCAAACGTATTCTGTAACGGTGATGAATACGCTGGCCAATTTCCATGTTCTCATAAGACAACCCTTTGAGACTCGGATTATAATAATTAAATGTTCCAGTCATTATTTGATACAGTAATCAAGACAGAAGGTCTGGCAAGAAGCACTACCATCCATCTCCGGAAAATGCTAGAATTGTTCAAAGCAATTCATATTTCTCTGAGTTTTAACCTGCTATGCAAACACTAGAACTATTTTCAGGACTCTTCTCTCCCAGAACAGCTAACTTCTCAGCAGTTAGGCACTTTCAGAATTTTATATGTGCTGAACTTGAGTTTGTCTTTGAAGCCTGCTGCTTTCACACCTCAGAAAAAGTTTGTTTGCCCCAAAGCATGCTTTTCTTTTCTAGCTATACCAGTAGGTCTCATAAGTTATTCAGAAATCTTGCTTTGGATTATTTTAAAGAAATTCTAGCGTCTGTAAGTCTTATACAGCAACACTTACATGGGTATAAAGTTCGAGAGTCATCGCTGTTGTCATATTCCACAAATATCCCAAACAATACAATGGTGATCACTTCCAGAAGAAGAGCCACGATCGAGAACGAGAACCTCATGTTGGTGTCAAGGGCTGAAGGCATCTCAGGAGAGCAGGAGGCTGTCAGAAACTGATAAAGAATGTTTGCCTTCGGCAGAGCTGCCTAATTCAGTGGATCTGGGTGACAGGCGAACACATTGTCACACCCACTGTGGGAGGGAAACAGTATGGGTTAATATAGTGATTTATATTTCACAGGCTATTTCTGTGCACGAAATGCTGGCGTACACTTTTACAATTTGTAATGCAAACCAGTTCATTTAGCACAGATACGCTTCTCACTGTCTTATACATGTTTTGGAAAGGAAATAGGCTAAAAGTAAATCTCACAGAGACTGGTTTGCCGCACATAGTAAGGAACACAGTGACAGTCAGTTGTGTTTCCTGTAGACAAGAATTTCTTCAAGTTGTAGCTTTCAGTTTTCATCTTATATGAAACATGGATAATCTCCTGTCTCTTCATATAGGAGATGATAAGCAAAGAGAAACTTTCAGCAGGCAGAAGTACTTGTTCCTATTTCACAGCGAATGAAGTACTCAGAGCACAAGTTCTCATTGTGAACTCTTATTTAAGGAGAAAATAATTATGCTTCTTCATAAAAAAACCAGTATTCCTAGTTGTTAAAAAATAAAGCTTCAGACTATTAAAAGAGGAGTTTCAAGAAACAGCTCATTTATTTTCTTTCATGATCGCTTTTTGCATTTCCCCGTAGTTCAGACAATGAAAATAGGTCTCAGATCAAATCTCTTAAATGGTTTAAAAAAACTCAGGTTGTAAACTTTCTCATGAATGAAGGAGGAAATTAACTCCCACAGATTACTGTTGGATGATCGCTTGTTCTTGAGACTCGCATTTCCTGTCAAAATTTGTTTTGACTCTTAAAAGTCTTGTGGAGAAAATATTTTATTGATGTGATATTAACTTGACCTCTGTTAATCCAGTATTCAGAAGATAGCCCAAAATCGTAGGGTAGGAGCCTTTATTTAATGAAAAATGGTATCTGTTTAAAAAGGGATGATATTACAGTGGCAGACTAATTGGGCATGAAGTATTAGAGCTAGGATACAGCAATAAAATGCTGCATCAGTCCTTGGGTATAGAAATCAGCATAATCTATAGATGCTGGGAGGTGATGCTACACCGGGCTGCTACTGTTGAGACTACTGTTGGAGAAGTGAGACTACTGTTGGAGAATGGCTCACATGTTATAATTTAAAGAACTCAGCTTTTTTTGGGTACATTGATACTGGTGGACCAGGCAGTGCTATGGCCTTTTCTCTGGTGCCGAGGACAATTTACATATTTGTCAACCTTTAGCTTGCCAAGCAGGGGGGCTGACACCAGGCACCTTTTAAGAATGGTGCCCTATTCACCGTAACTCCTGGACTAAGTCTGTTTGACACTGCTGTTGTGGGAGGATAAAAGCCCTGGCACTGTTCAGTTTTCTATTACAAAGGTAGGATTAGACCATTGTCCAAAGTAAGATTAAATTTATTTTAGCTTTTTCTCCTTGAAAATGGGTCTATGGATTTGGAATGAAAATCAAATTATTTAACAAGAGGAACATAACAGTCTGTCACAGACTCAAACTTGAAAGTGGCAAACCTAAAATAAACATATACATATCTTTTCTTTGTAGCAACTGTATTTCATTTGAACAGCTCAAAGAGAGGAAGCAGAGCTTTGTTAAAAAAACTATTGTTCATCCTTGCTGTACCACAGGATAAGACAGACGGCGATGTTTGATTGTAAGGACCTGTGAGCTCCTTCACTTGTGCAGGAAGTGATTAAAAAGAGCAAAATCACGAGTAAAGTTCATTGTTTTTCACCCACAGCTCAGCCATGAATATCTTGTGTTATTCATCACACAATGTTTTCCCTAGCGAATATTCCACATAACATATATGCAATCCTGACATTAAGCCCTTTCAGAGGTGCAGAAAAGGCTCCTTTTTGAAATCTTATTGGGGAAAATACCTTTCAATAAATGTTTAAATTTTAAAATGGGTCAAGTCAAGTTCATTCAATGAGGACTTTCTCTGAGATTATTACTTTATATCTTAAATTGCACGCAGGCACATAAACATAGACGCACAGGCACACAATATGTATTGAAAGAGTATTCATGCCTATCTTAGTCACTTTAGTATTGCCTTTGTAGTTAATGTGAAATTATGTACACCTCAAGGAAATTATTAGTCTTAATTCTCTTATACAGTTCTCTTAGGAAAAGGTGCATAATACTTCAGAGATTCTCATTTCCCTTCATTGATTATAATGCAAGCCTTTGGTGAGTAGTTCAGATTTCAGCATCCAAACTCCATTAATTTGTCTCAGGATGAGGCTTTTCACCCAAGATTTTCAAGAGCTTGTCAAATGTGCTTGTTTGATCTGCTGTAATTCTTGTGGCCTGTGCAGTGCACGAGATGGGGATCTGTTACCTGAGAGTACAAACAAAATCTGTGCTCCAGCACGTATGTGCCAGAAAGCTGATGCACCAGCATAGCTGGAATACACAGTCCTTAAGAATTACACTCAGCAAAGCTCACTTTGCTTCAGCAGACTGCCCAATGCCTAGCGTTCCCTCCTCCTTTTTCCCTTTTTTTTTTTTTTTTTTTTTTTTTTAACAGAAAGAGCAACTTAGCTATTTTCCTGGTGAGGTGAACTAATATCCAGCATCCACAGACAAATGGCTTTTATAAACCTACAGGTGATTTACATGGAAACAGGGACTTGGAAGAAATTATATTTCAGTATTTATGTACTCCAATATTTGTTCATCTAAATAAATTAAACATTCCTCTCTCACCATTAGCGAGGCCTAATATGTCATCATTTAACTTCAGATATTACCAACATTAAGCAAAAGGGATTGACAACACTAGCTGCCAGGAGGAAGAAGATGCTTTATCCAGAAGGTGGAGCTGCGCTGCTTTGCTTGCTGGAGTTTCTGGGAAAATCCAGTTTGGCCTGACTCCCTGCCTCACTTTTTGCCCATTGAGATGGACTTTGGCTTGTATCACGTTTGGGTCTGGAAACAGCAGGTCGTTTAGACATTCTCCTCAAACCTCTCCAAGGGAAGAAAGGTAAAAAGCCACAACGTGAGCCTGAAGCAGCAGCGACTAGGAGAAGAGTTTCAGCTTTCCTCTGCAAAATCTTGGATTGCTCTTTGTGACTGTGACAAGATGCTGCTCTACCCTGAGCCCTCAAAATGACAGTTTTAAACTCCTTGTGGCTCATCGAAACCTGCTGAGAATTTCAGAAGACAGGACAAAGGCACGTTTGCAGCATGCAGACTCCCCTGTCTGCCAGATCTGCTGCGCGCAGGGCAGGTTTCTCAAGGAAAAGTGAAATGAAATCAGGGGAAACATTACGCATTGACAGGGATCCTTAAACGCTGTCCTCTTTATACACAGCTCAAAGCAGAAACAGTTTAATTTTTCTAGAGAAAAAGAAATTATTCCCACCCTTTTATGTAATTTATGCATGAATGAAGTTCCCTATTAAATGGAAAAGCTTTTACAGATGGCTTTGGGCTCGATCATACCACCTGTGGAGAGTACAACATGTTTATCCTGCTAAATCATGAAAACAAGGTCTTGATCCCGCAGCCCTGCATCACAGTGGAAACTTTGTGCATAGTAGAAAGTCAGTAGGTCCTGTGTTTTGGCCTGATATATTTACCAGCTGAAGCAACTGCCATGTCAATGGCTGTCTGTCATTCCCCTCTTTGTTCCTGATTGTCTTGTTTCTGACAAAAAAGCTTGCCAGGTGATGGGGAGCAGCCACTTGCAACATCTCATTTCAAAGGCCAGCAGCCTTTACATGCCCCATGCAACTGCTGCGTAGGGCAATCAAAAATGCACACATCTTGAGCTGCCAGTCTTTAGTGTCTAGGAAACTCCCTTGTGTCTCCTTGTTAGCTTCAGCCCAATCATGATGGCTATAAATACAATGGGAGGAGTGGTGTTCTTTGGTATATATTGTTGCACACCTGGGTCTACTAATGAATTTGGAGTATTTGTCTTTTAAATGGCCGTTGAGTTTTTCATCCTACTTTTCCATCTGATGGAGAAACACGGTGGTGGTATGTAAACAAATGTGAAAGTTATGGCAGACTTTCAAGTCTCCAGACAAATAAAAATAGGAGATAAAGGGGTAGCTTGAGTAGTATCCTTACCTAAAGCATGAGAAAGAAGCTGCATTTAATAATCTAGGAGTGGCATTCACCTGACCAGACATACACTATACATTTCTGTATCTGATCTAAGCAGTAATGCTTCCCTTTTAAGTCAGAATAGAGAAATAAAAACTTCCAAGAGCAATTCTTTACATCTTAAAGGAAGAGACCTAAACCAGGCTAAATAGGCCAGGTGAATGCAAGGACCTGGCACTCTGCATTTCTAGTCATGTTTGTTGGCTGACACAGGCTCAAATCAGCTTCAGGATGCCTCCTAGAAAAGACCCCATGTGGTCTGCTGAAGAGACTGATGCTATTGAAAACTCCGAGTTCAGTTCATCGAAATCTGAGCTATGAATATCCCCCAGACAATGATGTGGATTTATGGAGCACGATCTGGGTGCAAGTCAATCTTTAAGCTACTTCTTGGTGTGTGCTCTTAATGCGAACATAGCTACAGAGACCAGAAATGTAGGGTAAGGTGCAGCTAGCCTGCACGCCGTGACAGAAATATTTCTTAGATGTCCTGAACTTTGAGCTGGAGAAGTTTTTTTTGAGAACACTGACATTTATCCCATTTCTGTGGTGTCACGGTAGAAGAGTTTTTTCATTAAACATTAACACTTTGAGTCAGCAGACAGCTACCTTGCTTCAAGTTGAAAGCTCAGCCAGGTAGACACAGTTTGTCCACGCAGCCCTTAAATATCTTCCTTCACCTTGAAGAGGGAAGTAACAATAAATGTGTTTTCTGACTCTGCACGGCAACAGTAAGATTGTCTTGACCTGATACATGTCACCCCCACAAGCCTCTTACATGTTTTCTTACAAATGTGGGGAAAATAAGGTCACTAGTGCACCACTAAAAATTTATTACAGGGCACACTAAGATGTCCATC